GGTTTTTGTTTGTCTTCCAGATTTTCTGTGAACTTCTAAAGCCAACAAAAGCATTTCAGGACTGAGCTGGTAATGCCAAGTGGCAGAACACAGGAAACTTTTTTTTTTAAGAGTTTAGAAGACTTACATAAATAAGCATGAGGGAGGAGGTGCTAAACTGACATGTCAAGGAAATGCCATGTACTTGTATTTATTGAAACCCACGGATACTTATGGATATGAACCAAGTGCGTCCCAAGGGAGAATAATTTCTACCACTAAGATCAGAGTAGCAAGACACCTATGTAATTTAAACAGCAGTCTCGGAAGCTTTAATGACAGCCTTTTCACTAGAATAAGCATTTCAAAATAACTTCCCCAGGATTATTTATTAAAGTTAATGTTATTCTTAAATTTGTGTATTTCCTTTGAATCCTTGTCAAGACTAGCATGTTAGACAACTGCTACGCTTGCAACCTAGAAGCACTTGGGCTTTTTATGCATAAGTGGCACTAGGTCAGGAAGAGGTTAATGTGTGGAAAATGGATATGGTAAGAATGAAAAGAAGGAAACACTGCACTTCGACTCAAGAATATGACATTTCAGCACATGAGGATACTAAAACATCAGCTATTTTCTTTCTAGCAACACAGAAAGTGCACAACTATCCGCTCCATATCTTGACAAACTGAATGAACATCACAATTTTCAGAAAACATGGAACGTAGTAAAGGTATCTTTTCTCAATACAGTGTGGGATTTGAATGAGCCGGTATCCACTAAGGATCTGGAAATGTCCTTTTTCTCTCTCAGTTACAAAACAATTTTAAACATATGGGGAAGGAAATAGTTATTCCCATCCTGTTCTGTAGCTGAACCATGAATCAAGATCTGAGATGTCAATTTACCCTCCAGAATCTTTTGTCGCAGTTTAATTTACTTTTTCTCCAATGTAATCCTGGTGTCACCTTACTGTTTAATATTGAAAGTTATTGACAAAGGAAATGCTGATTCATGAAAGTGAGATTTTGCTCTAATGCATTCATGTGAAAACAAATGAGCCTGTACCATTACATGGTTCTTCCTCTTGCTCACATTTCATTTCAGCCCTGACAGAATTTCAGATGGGGCAAATGAATCCTACACAAATCCTGCAGCAAGTTTTTCTCAGTCCTGGGCCAACAAACAAAAATGATTCCAAAGAAAATCTTCATCTTTGGTGCAATGCAAATTCTCCTTGGAGTATAAAAGGGCATGATCACTTACAAACTGAGGCAGAGCTGCCTCTGAAATTATGAAATCTGTTTATCTAGGTTGTTCCCTATTCAGAAAGCACATTCTGCTCCATAGGTACATATTAGCTGTGGCTTAATCCTGTTTAAGATTTATATTCTAATCCAGCACTACTTATCCTCACTATTCATAATACCTGTACTTTTATTTATACAGACTTCATTGCATGAGCTGGGTCATAACCTACACACTACTCTAGGCACCTGAAACCAGCCTGTTTTGCAGGAGGAAACAGGCTTCTACTATGCAGCATGGTCAAACATTAAAGTTCAATACAAATCCACCTTTCCTCCATGCCGGTGCTTCCAGGACTTCTCCATAATTGATTCCCATTTAACTAGCATGCACTGAAAACAACCCATTGTTTGCTCTTCCTGGATGCAGAGACCTCATTCTTTGCAGATTGCTGCAGTGCCATACATTCAATACAGTTAAGCAAGTACAAGATGATGCCATTGCAACATGGTGCCCAATGGCCAGAGTCTCATTCTGGAAGTCTAGTTATCCTCTGATCACGGTGTGGCAAAAAGGCCCGTAAGTCTGGAAGAAGCACCTGAAAACATCTATGTAAGAGGATTTTCAAAAATCTTACAGAAGAGAAGCCCAAGCAATGACCACCTCAAAACCACAAAACATCTCCTGCAAGGTAAAGATCTCTGTCTGCAACCCAGAAACTCATCATCCTGCCTCCTTGCCACCACTGCAAGGAGGCACTCAATAGCTGGCATCACCCTCAGCAACAAATGCAGTATAACATATGGAAGTGGAGGAGGTGTTGAGCTAGAATGGTCTCATTTTTAGCCCAGGCACAGAATAGGGATTCTGATGACCATGGGCATGGAGTAGCTCGAATAGACTATGCTGTCAGAGGAAAGTGTTTCAGGGAGACTTTCTGGAGCCATGCTCCAAGGATTTGTGTAACAACAGGCATGGGAGGAAAGCATCAAGAAAGAGAAGCATTTTGCTAACAGCATGGTAGCAGTTACTAAGCAGTCAAATGTGAAACAAAGCAAGACGGCAAATACCGTGAGGTTCTCATGATGATGCAGAAAAGAGGGCTTTTTTTTCACTCATTCCAGTAATGAACATTACAGTCTCTTTCTGTGTCTTCACAGAACCATTTTGAATTACTCTAGATGCAGGTTGATCCAGAACTCGGGGAAAATGAAAGAGGAGGACAGAGAGAGAGAGAGAGAGAGAATGGAAAACGACTGGTTTACACTACTTAGAGTAGAATGGGCAGAAGTTTCTCTGGGCATAGGGTGAGAAGGCTGACACCCATGCTAAGTGGGTGTCAACGTCTTGTCTCAGCTCTGCCAAATACTCCCCCTGCAGACTTAGACATCACAAATGACTTAACCACAGCATTAGAATGCCATCTCCCATACCCAGCCCACACTTTAGATACACTTGCTATGCCCACCACATTAGGTTAAAACAGAACAGTAATTACCTCACAAGGCTCCGTCACATCAACTGCAACATTTATCCTGCCAGGAAAAGATTAACTATTGACTGAAGCCAAAACAGTTTTATTCACATGGATGATTATGAAGCTGCTACTGCTGGATACAGCAGCACAGGCAGAAACCAGGCACAGCTCAGGAACATGGTACCACCAGGTGTGCCTGGCTTGCCCAAGAGCTGTGCAGAGCAAGCCATGCAACAAGGTTTACCCTTGGTTATGGTGTCCTCTCTCCACCTGGGACTGTCACAGGGCAGCTATGAGAAGCTTTGGCTCAATTTTGCCTTCCTGAATGGCTTCCAGGGAAAAAAGTAGTTTAAAAATCAAAAAGGAGCTTTTACACAGACAAGTACTTTGGTTGTGCCCAAAGCAGACAAGCTCAAAATGGCACATACATTTTCCTCTTTCCTACCTAGATTTCTACTTATTTTAGTCAGTTTAGGATACTGCACTTTATAAAAGTATAAACCAACAGATACAGAACAACTTGGATAAATTTAGTTCTGGTACTTGAAGACACGCTCCATTTATTTTGGATGTTTTAATCATATAGGGAGATACATCATGTGAAACTAGCATTTTCCTCACTAGCTACTAGTATTTACAGTTAGCATAGCAGAAGCCACTGAACATTTATTCAGGTGAACTCATGTATGTAATGGAGTTGCCTTTAGCAACTCTCCCTTGCTCCCAGGCCTCCTGTGACTATGCTACCTAAAGTTTTACATTTATCTTTCTCTGATGATCACAACTGGACAGGATTTTAAAACATTAAACTAGAAAGCCTGCATTACAGGCAGCGCTAACAGCCCAAACAAAGAGACAAAAGCAGCAAGTGGTTTATTGTAATACTGGTATTTTCCAAGCTCTTATCGAGCAAAGCATTTAATCTAATGTATTACACTTAATGAAGAGTCAGGAACTTGTACTGCAAATAACAGATCAGATATAATTGGAATTTGCTCCGCACCACTAGCCTACATATATCAATAAAAACAATAACCACATTGGATTTTGGGCTTACTTCATTTGCATTTCTTAATTTAGTGTTTAACTAATTTAACAATAGCAATGATTTAATTCAAATTAAAATCTAAGGAAAATAATTTTAAAAAGCCATTAAAGATTTAAGTTCCATCTAAATTAATATTAGCTTTCTTAATATTTTTCAGTAAATGGATTTTTCCTCTCACACTGAAACAAACATGAAGTTTCCTCTGTGCAGCCAAGCTTTAGATAAACCTTGTTAGATTTATAGGTATTATTTTAAGCAATTAATTATTATACATTAGAGTTATTTAGAGGAAAAGCACAAAAAGGGCAGGAAAATGGATTAAGCTGTTTTTAAAACACTACATTCAACTGCGATAATTGTTCTTTGAACCTTTTATCTGGAGCTCTTTAGGTATACACTGTTCGTTACATCACTTTTCTCATACATTTGTGGTATCACTCCTAAGCATCAGAAACATGAGTTACCCAAGCCACAATAGTTCTACAAGACATTTTCTGCATCTCCACACGTACCAGTCACTTGCACATGAGTGACTACTCAGAGAAAATAATTCATTTCAGAAACGTCAGTTATAATAACCAAAAGGTTCTGTGAATTTCCAGTCTTGCCTCCTATCCTCTAAATGAAATAGAAAACTTATTTGCACAATATAGTTATTTATACTATATATATATAGCGTGTGTGAGTGCGTATAGGTAAAAACATACATATATGAAACTTTCTTCTTTTAACCACCAGAATACAACACATCCTACCTCAGCCCTCAATGTACTTTTGCTTTTGTAGTCTGCTGGAATGTGCAGCTGATTTTGGGGTGTTGGATGTGCCATCAGGACAGATAGAAAGGATGTATAGGGGAGGTAGATGACAGAAGTTTGTCTGAGGCCTCTCCAAACTGGAACTGCTGTCAGTTTTATCCTTGGTTAAAATGAAAAGAGTTAAATGATCGGGCCTCTGAGGAGTGATCTAACCCATTTTCAAGCATATAAAAGGGGATGGAAATTAGGGTTATAGTCTTACACTCTCCTGGTTCTCATGATTAACCCTTATTCATGCAAATGGCAGCACTGAAATCAACAGGAATGCCCTTGCAGTGATTACACTTTAAGCAACAGCCTCGATAACATCTATAATCTGCCCCGACCTGTATCAAAGTTCATAGCCGCTACCATACTTGAAAGAATTTAATAACTCCAATGAATAAAAGAGGAATTTAAAACACAAAAATAAACAAGAAGCCACTAGATCCTGAGCGTTTGCCAGCAATTTTTTATTCTAACATATCATACTTAAAAACAATGGCTTCAGATGTTCACCTGCATTTCAGTGGGTACCAGGCTTTTATGTTCACAGACAAAAATCAGATATGATATATGAAGCTTTGTATCACTCTCCAGCACAAGTGTTCACTTGCAGGTAAACTTAAATCACTTTACTAGAAGTGCACTTAATTTGAAGAGATTACTCATGAAGCTCTCCACTTGTACATTTGTATAACCATTATAATTAGAACCACTTCAAAATAACAAAAAGTTCATTTTTGACCAGAATAAACACAGAGGGAAAAGATCAAGAGCACCTTGAGTGAAGAGAGTGAATGCTTTTGAAAATATCGTTCATCATCCCTCCAGCTCTGTGACCACTTTAATTCCAATGCTACTCACAGTGCTGCTGCTACACAGGCCAATATATATTATTTTCTGCTGTTTTGTAGGTTTTAGTTGGCCACCGACAGCACAGAAATACTTTGCCAGTTTGAAACAATGCTGAGTGCCCTCCAGCTCTCCATAATTACTTCTTGAGATGCACACATGGAAATAGCTATGTACAGATAAATACTGAGATTTACCTGTTTGGTACTAGATACTAGCGATGGTGAGGGAAGGAACTGAGTGACCCAATGCTGGAAACACAGAGAAGTCAGCCAAGGATGTGCTGGAATACAGTTCCCAGATGCATTCCTTCAGCACATGGATACCCCTAGGATCCAAACTCCTCTACCAACAAAGTCAATATTTGAAATGTAACAGAAGTGATCTTAACATATTGAAAACATGACAGGAAAACACACAAAAGTGAAGAACGTTGCATTCAATGATGAAGTACATTGACTAGATAGATAAGTACACTGAAACTCTGGCTACTAACTTTAAGCTAAGGAAATCGAGCATATTTCCAAGTCAGTTTGTTTTCCAAAATAATACTGCCATTTGCTTCTACTTCTGTAATGAATACACACTGTTTAGAATTGCTATCTTGGGTAACATTGTTGCCTTGTAAAAAGAAAGAATTCAATACTGTGTGTTTGCGCACAGCAAACACCTTCTCATAGAGTTTTTGAGACAGAGCATTCAGCTCATTCAAATTCCAATGCAGCCATTCTTTCCACTCAGTGTTGCTGCAAAAGTGGAAACACAAAGGCACACAGGTTTATGTTTTATAAAGATGCTAGCTGGTTTCTACAAACCGTGCATAACTGAACTTCCATCTACCAGAACTTCTGAAAACAGCTAATAATTACGCATTTCAGAAGAGTCAACCGAGATAGGCACACACAGAGGTGAAACACTGAGAGTTAAGTCACACTTTAGTAACATTAAAGATAAAGATTTACAAGTTCAGTTATCTGCCGTAGAGGTATCCTCTACGGTATTTCACTTTCAGACACTATCAAAAATAAAAACATCACAAAACCTCCCTTTGTATGTATATATATACTCTATTTTTAATTTCAAATTTCCACTTTTCAGAAATTTCTTAAGTTTAAATATTGTCAAACGGAAGACAAATACTTTAAAACCAACATAAGTGGTAGAGAAGCGGCCACTTTTAAACTCACTTTCTACTTGAGTAGTAATTGATGTACAATGCTCAGCAGGTACACCTGAGTTTAGTTTTACTTTAAGTCTGCCTGATGCTGTACAATCACTGTAAGCGCAGTCGGAAGAAGACAATTTCAGTTTCAAGCAAACTTTTTTCCTTGTGTTCTTTCATACACTCCTTAGATTTTCCAAGTCGGAATAGCACTGATGTGCTGAAGGCCACTGTAAGAGACTCAAGTCCAGCCTTTTAAACATCAAAGAGAAAAATTATATCACTGTCTGGAAGCTGGGATCAGGAATTTCATCCTTCTTTGGGTCAGCCCTGTCACTGATCATAAATTACAGCCTCCAAGTGCAAACCTAAAAAATCTCTGTTGGTACTCATGTCAGAGCGAGAACTTCAGAAGCACATACTGCACTTGAAGCTTATTTTTCATGAACTTCCCATCCGCTGCTGTCCTTTACACCTGGACTGAACCAACATTGTGAAAGCCTTGGGGCTGAGACCTGTCACTTTACATGCACCATGCACACCTTCGCAAGTGCATAAGTTAGACACACCATGTACAGGCTAAGTAACGTATTTTAAAGGCAGAAAAAGAGACTGCCCTTTACATGCATTCCTGAAAACCATGGGTCAGAAATTAAAAAAAAAAAAAAAAAAAAAAAGCTGCCCAAATTAATCCTTTAACGTCTAAAGACAATTAAAGTTACGCAAGTAGAATGCAGAATTCCCCTTCCCCACAGACATGTGAGCTTTTACTCTGTTTTTACTTAATAAATGCAGGGTGGTTTGTTATTTTTCTCTTGAGATAATCTGAGTAAGCACTGAGAAGCTGTCCTCTAGAAATCAAAGTCTGTATGGAACCAACACTTCAGATATTTAAATTCATTTTAAAACAACTCAGACAATGATCTCTTTTAAAGTAAGGCAAAACTGTCTTGCTTAATTTCATGCAGCAAACAGAGTAAAAATTACTGTACATGCACGCAAATAGAGTAGGTCGGGAAAGAATGACTTGTAGAATGCCTGTTAACACTGAAAAATCTCAAGGGTGGATTGATGCAGCTGAAAGCTTGGAAACACTTAGTGCTCAGAAGTGATGCATAACATGAGATGTGTAAGAGCAGCTGAATAACCTTAAGCCAGAAAAAAGAAAGACATCTGGAGAGACTAGGGATTCTTGGGAGAGCTGAATGGAGTTCACTAACAGACCTGTCACATTTGAGCAACAAAAATGAAAACACAGAAAGACACTGAAGAAAGATTTAAAGTAATAAATAGGTATCATCTCACTAAGTGTCAACTAAGGTAGCTATAGTGTTTTACAAGCAGAATGTAGAAACAGGGGGTCATTTACAGTGATACCAGCAGCTGCTATTGGTAGAAATGATTACTACAAAGCAATGTATATATAGCTGTGAATCAGATGAGCTTCCTAGCAATGGCATCTCTTACAGATTCCCATGTGTCTGAGACAGAATGGACCACTCTGGTCCTTTTAACTCACCCTTCTATAACATGAACAATCTCTTTGGATCAGAGCACCTGTATTTAGGAAAAAAAACAAACCTTGTTTGTAGAACTTCCAGTGCTAAAGAGTTCACTACATCCTGTCAATTGCTGCAATGTTTTATTTCAGTTTCTGTTAAAAATCTGCACCTTGCTTGTCATTTGAGGTTTACCTACTTTCAGTTATTGAACAATAGTGTTGCTGTCTGTAAGGCTCATGAGTTCTATACTACCAAGTTTCCTTTCCCCAAGAAGGTACTTATAGACTGCAATCATGTCATTCCCTCCCTAATCTAACTGGATTTAAAACTAGATCAGTCCTAAAAACACAAGTGATAAAAGATTTATTAGATAACTGATGCCCAAGTCCCCAGCTTCTAAAGATCCATGAAGCTCTAACAAAACCAGTCAACTGACAGCTTGACTATTTTTCTGAGTACTGCTTGAAAAGTACATCATTGAAACAGCCATAAACAATCCCTCCTAACATTAGGGCACAGGAATTGAACCATTTACATACTTAGTCTTTTGCTGACCAAACATTAAAAGTGATTGTTCAAACAATGACAACATTTTATCATTGTGTCAGAAATGAAAGACTGATAGTACCTTCTCCAATCTTTTTATTAACTCTTCAGATTTTCTGTCTTCACTGTGTTTCCTGTATATGTATAACAACAATAAAACAAAATAAAAGCAAGACAATAGCCACTGCATGAAAAATTCTAGAGCACGTATGCAGCTTCCTTATAGTACATTAGGTCATTTCCTCCAGAGACATTTTATCTAACCCTTTTTAAAATTAGTTAAACTAATACTCTTGGCTCTCTGGAGCCAAGTAATAATAAAAAAGCTCTTCTTTGCAAAATACTTGGTCAGGGAATTGGTAATGAGCTAACCAACCTTTCACTCCAGATCACTGGCTTAAAACCAAGCGTTGCTTGATCGTGCCTGGAAGGCTCTGCTATGTGATAGCAGTCTGATGCTTTGTGGAAAATAAGAGGGGATACAGTCAAGTTCTTGGCAAGGTATTGCCCATCTCACACTGGCACTCTTATCAGCCGGAACTTTCATCAGAAAATACAAATATCCTCTGCAGCAGAATCACTAACTTATCTGGGAGGAAGATCCTGACTTTGATGAATTTGAAAGTCCTTCTTAAGCCAACACTCCTCCCTCAAAAATACAGGCTCAAGATCTAATGGCAAGGCATATTTATGGTCTGTTTGTATTGCATGCCAAGCGGTACTCTCTGCCCCATCTCTGTTCATATATGTTCCAATCTGACCTATACCATTATTCGTTATTATTGTGAACAAAGGACTTCAATTTCTCACCAAGGGCTCTGTCCTCTAATTATTTTTAAACTGTTTTCATTCACTTGCTGAAGCAAAAGGCCCCTAACAAAGCCATCACCCTCATGCTGCTGAAACAACATCAGCACTCTTAGCAGCAAACAGCAAGAGACAAGCACGAAGCCAACACAACATTTTAGTATTGATTTCTCCAAGAAATTTAAATCCCGCAGGGCATAAACATCAATTTAATCTGTATGCAACTACAAAATGGCCTCACAGTTTTCAGCCAGAACACTGCTACAACTGGAGTAGAAGCACACTTAGTGGTGAAGGTAAGGACAACCGACGGAACAAGTACCCCAACATTCTTGATATTTCATAAGACTATGGAGACTACAGTCACTGAAGCCAGTCAAAGACAACTACCAGCAGAAAAACCTGTCTCATAGCCTGACACAAAGCCATCTCCAAAGTGTCCCAAGGATCAGTGCTATCTAGCTTTGCCAAACTGGAAAGCCAGTTCATCCTCCAATGGACCAACACTTTGCTCTGAATTGACAGCCCCATGCCTCCCCTTCGGGTTCTGTGATTCTGTGTGACATCATGAACAATGAAAATCAATCACACCATATTATACTAAGAGATATTTTCTGAGCTTCCCTTGCTCCATCACACTGCCTTCCCTGCAGACAAAGCGCCACACATTATTACTACCTTCAACCTGCTGGAAATAGCATCAGAAGAAAATACCACCTGAAGAAAAAAGAAACTGGGCACCTTTGAGTTTGCCCTCATGTAATCTTAGACTGAGTTCTTCAGAAAAGATAAGTTCCCCCCTCTAATCACTGAGATGTCAAACCCAGGATGCTCTGACATTTCCAATTTTTCCCTAGCACTGCAGGACTGCTGTTTTGTTTAAGAAAGCATCTCATTGTATATTTGATCAGAAGGATGTACTTTCACGTATTTGAAACACCATCAACATGTAGCACTTAAGGAAAAAAAATGGCTCATTCTTACACCAGTGCAAAGCCATAGGCATGTCTGTGTCACTCCAGCCAGGACTTAAGCACCAAGTACAGTCAGTAGAATTCAGGGCACCAACATTATTTGTGAGTGACGGATTTATGTATGCAAGAAGCTGTAAATTACATAATAAACACAGACAGGGGATTTTATGGACAAAGATCATGCTTGTAATCATGCATGCACCTTCTACCCATCTACCCCTGCTGTTGACAGTTAGGTGGCAGAATCAGATTCCTAAAGGTATAACTGTGACACAAAGAGCACATCCAGAGCAACTGGAGTATATAAACTCACTGACAGGCACAAGGTGAAGGCAGAAAGCCTTGTTCAAAGTTAACAGTTTCAACACAGACCCCACCCCAGATAACCAGCCACCTACAAGGCATGATTTATTAATTGATGCTGCAGTCCCACAAAAACCTTGTTTAACACAACTCTAGCACACACAGGACCCAGTACATATGGACTTAGTGCTGAGATTACCATTGACACAAAGTTTTCTACACTGAAGACCAGCACATCACTTAAATATCTATTGACTACATGTGTGACCAACACCAGAACCCAACAGTGGGCCTGGAGGTAGATTTTGCTCCCAAGAATAATCATTTTTGTGGATCTTTACTAGGATAGCTTCACTAGATTCAAGCAAGGACCATTGCAACATTCTCCAGTCAGTGTCAATTTTGGGATGAACTTTAATATTGCTTGGTCAGGAATAGAAGCAACTCTGAAGTGACCACCAAGGTTATTAAAGTATATATTGGCAGATCAGTTTCAACCAGTGACAGCTTTATAGCTGCTGCGATCACCTGTGTCAGTAAGCTGCAGACACTGTCATTTCTCTATAAAGTTACCATGGTTTTGACTTCAGAGAGTCCACAAACCAATGCAGCAAGCATGTCTGTATGACGAGCCTCTGAAAACCAGTCATGAGTTTGGCTTTCAAAAGGGGATGGCTGCAAGCAGAAAAAGGAAGTAACACAACAGCAGTTGTTTATGATACAATCAAAATTCAGGAAAATAAAGCCAGAACAGCAAACCTTCACCTTATCTGCATGAATCTCTGAATCGGAGGATGTAAACAACAGGGACAGACCAAACTTCACTTGTTTGTTTCTAGATCTCAATCCTCTATCCACCCCTTAAGCACATAAGCAAAACAGGATACAGGGTGTTACTGAATGATTTCCCCTGAAATCTGATTGAGAAAGATTAGAGCAATTAGAACTGAGTGACACACACTTTTAAAACCCTTATATCACGATTAATGTAAGGCTTAACATTTCTCCTAGGGATCATCTGGTGACTGCCATTTTCAAAACAAGGCTGACACACACATCCCAGCCTCAAATTAAAAGTCATGAGAGAGAATCCCCTGCCCTCTACTGGCACACAAGGCGCACTGAAACCCCTGCACATGGCTTCAGGCAAGCACAAACAGCACCCGAAGAGCTGTTTTAAGGGGTTTTGAAACTATTATTTGCAATTTGTATAAGACAACCACTCATATCAAACTGGGAACAAAATCACACGCAAATATAAGACACTCTTTCAGCATCACTGCACTTCTTCCTGCAGTGCTAGCTAGACTGAGGATTCAAAATACTGCTCCTAGCAAGATAGTATATTCATTAACTGAAAGTAAATTCTAAGGGATTATCTAATGTTTGTCATGTTCACAGTGCATAACCAAGAACTGTATATGGTTGATTTTTATTTATTTATCTTCACAAAATTCTCTTCCATGTATGCTGCTGCTTTTCAGATCCCAGTCATCCAAACTGCATTTGGCCCAAGAACAGAGTGCATGACTGCCAAAATGATTTTTCCAGAACCTTGGTGCCAGAGCTAGGGCACTTCTTAGCCAGGTTTCTGACTCATATGCACCATTGAGATGGCACCACACAAACTGCAGGACACCACAGCAAAACATTTGCTGTGACTGACCATGTCAGTTCCATTTGTGTTACAGATCAATTTAATATGTGTTATCCTATAACTTTCCAGATATTATGAGCAGTTACTATTCTATTCTCCCATTGTTGTAAACAACAACAAAAGCCAAGATTTACACTGCTGTGATTATATTTCTGAACGTATATCAGCTTGAGTCCTGGAAAAATCAAAGTAAATTCCCTGGGTAGACAAGGCCTAAAAGGAACTGAATAAACGCAAGGGTCCTGACTGTATATTTCACCCAAAAGATAAATAAGATTTTAAATCGCATTAGAAGAATTAGAGAAGCAGCCTGAAAAACAGCAGCTATTAAACAAGAGAATGTCTAGCAATACAAGAGTAATTCCCACAATGCTCATCCGTACCCTCAAACACATTCAGAACTCACCCTGTTTTCAGAGCTGTCACACAACAATGCATATGTAAGCCTGCCATTACTACACAAATAACAGAATATGACATTTGAATAATACCACTAAGGAAAAGTGGGAGATGCATACAGCCTACACTACATACAGCAGTTCTCTTTTAAAGCAACTCATCTGTTAGTTACTACATAGCTGAAAGACTTCTGGGATGCAACAAAACAAATGCATACAAGGTTCCACGGAAACTAGAGGAACATAGTGCAATCACACCCATCTCCTTCTTACTGTAGACATCTACAGCATTAAAAAAAGAAAAGTTTTTAAAGCTTATTAAGCCACATCCTAAATCTAGTTAGGCTTCTGGTTGTCCTACAGAGCCTAAACATATTTACAGATAATTTCTACCCATTTGTTTCTGTGTCAGAGTTGTCCGATATCTTAAACAGTTCCTCTTGCACTCTGGTGTTTGTCTAACCCCTGACATTTACAGATTGCAAAAGTATCCTCTTCAGCCATGAGCTTTCTAGGCCATATAAGCCAAGCTTTTGGTGGAGCAGAATCTAAGAATGAAGGCTATAACAGGTATTTTAAACACGATCTATTTGAATCTCAGCCTGTTGCCATAAATAACCTTCCCAAATAAATGCGGTTTCAAGAATATAAGAAAATATATAACAACAAAGCCTTTATGGCATAAATTTATGAGGTGGTGTTGCCAAGCCTTGTGATTTGTTTCAGTGTCTCTATGTTTTCTCAACTTACAGCTTCCAAGTACTCTTTTAAAAGTAAAAAAAAATCTATCCTTCATGATTATGGATAAAAGCCTGGAGGTAAGAGTCAGGCAATGGCTTCTAAATTAGGAGGTCAGCGTTGGCTTGTAAAGGAGAACGTCAGGATGTAAATAAAAATAATACGATTTTTAAAAGATAATTCAATATTTTTTAAGACGCCACCGGTTGATACAGTGGCAGAAAATGCCAATAAAACATCTTACCCACCTGCCTGTATATTTTTTTGTAGAATAGTACAGCTAGTAATGACCTGATCCCACTTCTACAGGTAAAATACAGACTTTGTTGTTCCAATGTGCTAAAAATTACTCACATTATCAGCTCTAGGAATCAAGATCTCTTGCTTTCTGAATCACAAGACAGGGAAAAGGCTTCTGCTTTATTAACAGGAAACTGAGGTAAAGAGGCTTATGGGAGATCCAGGAACTGAACATAGATTTCAGATTGTCTGAGTTACACTCTTGAGCTTAAGGAAGAAGGCTGGTCGTCTTTTCACTTAACAAGCTGTTGAAGCCCAAACTCTTATTTAAAAATTGATAATGCAGCTCAGTAACAATGAAACAGCAAGAATACTTGAAAAAGAAGTCATCTTAAACCATCAGTCCTTCTAAAATTCACATCTGCAAAAACTTGCCCCAACACACCATCCAAAATTTTTCCAGGAGGCTAATTTAGAATTTATACCAGTTTCTATATCCATCAGGCAGGACAAGAATCACAATACTGACATTACTGTTAGGACTCCTATCTTTGCATTTGATCTCTAGTGCCATGAGTTGTACCGCTTTTCATCATACTTACTGACTTTATATCCCAGCTTTTCAGCATGAATCCTCTTGGCCATGAACTGCCCTTCAATCAATGCTCGTATTTCCACCTCCTTTGGAAAGACTGAAACCTATTATCAAAGAAGGAATACATTAAGTTAACAAGCACCTTACACAGTATATAATGCCAAGCTGCAGACTGGTTAAAAAAGTGAGACAGATTTATAGTTTATTATCTCTATCTTCACCCCAAGTCTGCTTTCAGCAAGGCCTAGTTCTTCACTCATACACATAAGATGGACCTAAAGACTCATGACAGAGAACGCAACCCATAACCTCAGTGTTTGTTGGCAAATCCATCAAACTTGAAATCAACACACAATGCGAAGAGGTTCTACTGCAAGTTGTAAACTCTTCTCTATGCATTTCTCAGCACCAAAGGCTGCTTAAGAATCAATATCTCAAAAATATAAAATTAAAGCAGGTAGATAAAATTCAGATGCATTAAGCAATGTCACAAAAATTTATTTCTGGTTCCACAAAAGTGAAACTATGTAATCTTTCCATTTAGTTTCTACATGTAACATTTTTCTGTCCTTTCATCAACCAGAGTATGAAAAATGCAACAGAAGTAGGAAAATACAGAACTAAAATACAAAGAAAGCTTCACAAAATACTGAGTTTTGCCATGCGCTACAATAAGTGCCTACAACTTGCATAACAGAAGTGATTAAGCATTCATTTAAACAGCAAACATTTAAGACACTAGTGCTACACTGCAAACACATGACAGTATCAATCTCTCTTCACCTGGGTGAAGTCTAATTGACTGGGAGTCATGATTGATAAAAGACATCTTTTGAGTTTCAGTACCATCCAGAAATCCAGACATTTAAACAATATCCATTCCTCAAAAGAAAAAAGAAAAAAAGATACAAAGAACTTTCCTTTTCATAATTTCTATTTTAATTCCAATTGGACTTGAGCCTGTGTTTCCTTAGATACAACTATGTAGCTTGTAGGTTACCCCAAGCCATGCATGACAGAAAACTGAGGTCTTCGTATACACATTTAGAACAAGACAAAAGACAAAATATTATAGCCCCAAAATTTCAACACATCCTTATCTGTGTGTCTGAAACCTAGAAGGTGGGGACCAAGTCATGTAAGCGTATTAAGCTCTCAATAAGCTTAAAGTTAATCCCTTTTCCAAAACAGAATTGGTTTCACTAAATCCATATTTTCCAGTAAAGGAAACATTTCCTAAAAATAATACCACTTAAGTTCTAGTTCAGACTTTGCACTGTAGACACTCCCAAGCTACAGTCCAAATACTTCCCTATGAAAATCATCATCAGGGACTTGCACCAATAAATAAAACTTGAAAGCAAGTATCTCCAACCAAAAAAAAAAGAAAGATAACAGCAAAGATTTCAAGCCTTGACAGCACTCCTTCAAGGTTTGAGACGTTAACTAGATTATTACTACCTTTTGGTTGTCTTTGTTGAATCTGTGAATCCCAACTGCTTCAGGAGTAATTTCCATCACATCAAAGTAGAAACCTGCACCAAGGAACATTAAAGAGCGTCATGTTTGCTTCTAGCCCAAAGTTGGTATCTTATTTCAGCACACAGCTAAAATGATAATAAATGCTTATCAGGTATTTGGACATTTGAGTTGCCAGGCACCCTGTTTCTTAACTGATTTCAGTCCACAAATTTATCAAAATGTCACTACTTTCCAAAAACGTGGATCTTAAGCATGTCTGGGTCTAGGAATCCAAACGATATATAAACAACAAGACTATGAAGAGCACACATCTACCACAACAAACACACATGCAAGCAACATAGATACCATGCAACATGTGTTAGAAATGGGGAAGTGGGGAGGGGTGGGGTGAAAGGAAAAAAAAAAAACAAAACACATAAAATGGCAAGCAAGAAGAGTACAGGAATACTGTTGGGTTAGATTTTGCGAGCATATTAGAGAACATCAGACATTTTAAGTCATGAAGCAGAGCTGGTCTGAATAGTTTTGATGAGATCTGAAGAAATGCATGAATGCTTTGTAGAGTACTAGAGAAAAAGTGTGAAAAAGATTTCTTTTGTGTTGATGGCAGGAACGGTTGAAACGGTCAGAAAAGATATTCAAGAAATGAGACTCAAAAAGAAAAAGAAAACAAGGACAGAGAAACTGAACTGAATAGCTAAGCTACTAAGGAGACTTTCTAATGTTCAGACCTTGAAACAAGAATATGTTGCCCTAGGAGGCCTACAATTATTAGCCAAAAAAGCAAACAAACAAACAAAAAATCTAAAAAAAATTAAAACAAAAAAAATAAAAAAAATGCCAAGTGCAAGGTCCTGAATGTAGGTTGGGGCAATCCCAAGCACAACTACAGGCTGGGTGGAAAATAGATTGAGAGCAGTCCTGAGGAAAACGACTTGAGGATGTTGGGTTGACAAACAACCTGACCAAGCAGTGTGTGCTTGCAGGCCAGAAAGCCAGCTGTCCCAGGCTGCATCAAAAGAAACCTGACCAGTGGGTCAAGGGAGGCAACTCTCCCCCTCTACTCTGCTCTCGTGAGACCCTACCTGCAGGGATGGGTCTAGCTCTGGGACTCCCAACAGAAGAACATGGACCTATTGGAGCAAGTTCAGAGAAGGGCCGCAAAGACCATCAGAGGTGTGGAGCACCTCTCCTATGAAGACAGGCATACAGAGCCTGGTTTGTTCAGCCTGAATAGAAGGCTCCAGAGAGATCTTACAGTACCTAAAGGGGCCTACAGGAAATTTGGAGAGGGACTTTTTACAAGGGCATGTAGGGATAGGACAAGGGGAATGGCTTTAAACTGAAAGAGGGCAGAGGTAGATTACATATTATGAAAAACTTCTTCACTATGAGAGTGGTGAGACACTGGAACAGAAGTAGTTGTGGCTGCTCCATCCTTGGCAGTGTTCAAGGCCGGACTGGACAGGGCTTTGAGCAACGTGGTCTAATGGAAGGTGTCCCTGCCCACGGCAGGGGGTTGGAACTGGATGGTCTTTAAGGCTCCTTCCAACCCAAGTGATCCTATGACTCTATTAGCCTTCTCAAGTACTTCCCAGATACAATAAGACCCTCACCTGGTCACTCCTCCTCCTTCCCTGTTTACTACCCCTGCTACTCGCATTATCCCAGCCTCATCCTAGCAGCTGCCTCTGCCCATCTCTCAAACATCTGCAAGCACATCTCACAACAGGCAATGAAGGAACAAGTTATAAAAGGGAGGGTGGCTAACTAGTTACTTCTTTGCTTTGCTCTGGAACTCAGATTTTGGAGATCACTGTATTCTTACAGTGTTATCCAACCATACATGTTATTGAGGACAACTTTCACAAACACCCCTTGTTATAGGGGATGGGATATTCAAGGAAACACACTATAATACAAATTTTAAAACTTTAAGTTGGTGTCCTGGTACCCTTGAAATCAGTAACAGTACTTTCATGAACTTCCAATTTTTTTTAATACCACCCATAGCGACTGACTATGGGGTTTTAGAGTAACCTTTTGCCATTTTCTGAAACACCTGAATTGATTTTCCTTCTAGTGAAAAGTGATTCCTGGTCATTTTAATACCCCACAGAGAATGGATCTGACAGACAATATAACAGAGTTTCTAAAAATGAAAAATCAGTGCTAATCTCATAGTGTCAATGAACTGTATCTTAAATTCACTTTTCTAAGGAGTGACGTCTTCTATAGCTTAAATATCTACATTTTAAAACTTTGCTACCTACAGTTCTTAAATTAATTTTACTCACATTAATTCAGATCTAGGATAATGGTGATGGTTTTAAATTCAGCTCTACAAAGGTTAAATTTTTATCTTGATTACACATATGCTCACCTTTCAATAACATACTTCACAGCTACCTGCTACACTTGTAAAATATTAAACTGTGGGAAAGAAAATAATGTAAAACTTGAAATACATGGGTTTAAGCTTTTACAATATTTCTATCATCATCATTTCTTTCATTTCACTTACTATAATGTGGGGTAAAGAAACAGGATGAAATGACTCTGACATACATGGGGGAAAATAAGGAAATCTGCGTATCACTTGACGTTACTGCTTTGTCCACGTGTATGAACAAGATTCTGGAGAAATGATTGAAAAAGAAATAATATGGAGCTACTTAATTCACTTGGTTTAAGTCTTCAGAGAAAGAAACATATCTCTAATTAAAGTCTCCTTCAGAAATTACTAGTTTTAAACAGTCTTAGCTAAGATGCTACTAATACCCTTTCAGTGATTAAAAGAGCTCCATAAATATAATTTTCTTATTTAGTGAATATTGAAGGAAAATATTATCATGACACTTAGCCTACCAACAGCGCATTTTTTAAGTACACATTATGAATTCCCCTTCTCTAGTTAACTTAATCCTTGGCCTTTATAATGACCCAGTTAAAAAGTAGGTACAACACCCACTCAAACATGTGTCTAAGGAAACCCTGAACTCCCAGCCCTGCTAAGGATCATACCCAAGTTTCCATTGTTTCCAGCAACAGTAGATGATAAGGCTTTGGAGAATTCATCCCAGGAGCCTGAAGCACAGTCATCTCTGACCCTCTCTCTCATCAGAGAGCCGTTCTTAAAACTGAAATACACAAACACAACATATACATTTTCTAAAACATTTTGGCTCTAGATTCTTAAAGGAATTTGCTGGTTTACTCAATATTGGCGTTTACTGTATCAGCTGAATAAAGCTGGGGAAGTTTAAAGATACAATCACTCCTTCATTATAAAAAGACAGAGAGGAAGAAAACTAGATAAGAAAGAAAAAGATTACAGGACGTGTTGAGGTGCTCAGTGAAGAGATGTTGGTATATACCTCTCCAATAAGTCAGTTTAGATCCAGTTTTGCAGGCCACACTAAACCCAGGCTAAATCTGAACAGCTAAGACACTTCCTGAGAGAAGCACTCTGAGGCAGTGCTAAAAAGCTCACTCTGAGATGACTCTGCAAGGAGGAGCAAGAGTGTCCCTACATTGCATTTATGATTTCAGGAGCATGGTACCAGTATGGAGCCAACTAGGGTCCAACATGACTTATTAGGTCTAGTCCCAACCCACGATCTGGCAAAGGAAAGTACCACAGCTGCATCTGCACATTTCTGGTCCAGAGCCAGTAAATCGCACTGCAAAACATGCAGTGCTCAGTGTTCATGAAGTCAACTTCTTCACCTCCTCTGTGAACATAACACTACAAGCGTTATAAAATACTTATGCAGCATTGGACTCAAACCCAGAGGAAAGTAGCTTGAATGCTCTCCAGCACAGAGTTATCAAAGCAACTCAGCAGAAAAGGCACCAAAACATCCAAAAAGAGGGCAAGGAAATTACTGAACATGCTCAGTAACAGCAGCTGAAATTACATGAGTTTTCTGTGCAAACACTGTGCGTGGTAGCTTGGGCACTCTTCCCCTACTAACCAGGAGTCCCCTCTTAACTCTAATATTCTAGAAATAAAAGGGCATTGGTGCAAAAAGGGCAGTGTCAGAGCATAAATCACTAGGCAGCAGAAACAGGAACACTGCATCTGCATGGCTACAGAAATATCTTGTGCTCTGAAAGGCAGGTTTGGCCTTCTGCACATATTAAGTTGCAATAAAACAATAGCAGTATAACAGGTATCAGAAAAATGCCTCAGCTTTTCCTTTGCTATTACGAATAGGCTGTTTATATATCTTTTTTACACAGCGAAAGTAAAATACTGGGTAAAGGAAAAATTTGAATGCAAAACTTCAGAAAAATAATAACTGCTGGAAAATCATAATATGATACTTGGTAATGTGCAATGGACATCATGCTTTGGAACTCAACTTTATAAGCACTGTTCCTAAAGTCATCTACAGCATCACATTACTGTTCAGATAAGATTCAATATTATAGTTAAAGGGTAGACTCGAGCATTGCTGAAGTTTTGAGTTTCAAGCATCTCCAACCCATATGATTTAGACACAAAATTTCTCTGCATATTACTTGCAAATATTTGCCTAAATACTATGACATGTTTTGGAAGATTCTACCCTGAATACAGTGACTCAGTGAGGGAAAACATAGCTTCAGGCCACCTTTCCACCTACTTGGCTGGCAACGAACCCAACAATTCCCAAATGACAGAAGCCAAAAGCTACCATGAGGATCATTCTCACAGCTGGCTTTCTTGAGATCTCAGTATTTTCCACATGCACAGCCTAATGCATCCCTCAACAGCACCGATTATACTACTATCTGAAAAGGCAATCTTCACTTGCACTATTTTGTCCCCTCTGGACCACTAGAAGAGCACAGAAGTTATATAGCCTGGTCAAGCTTTTGACATTTCACATTATATTTCAGGAGACTATTATTCCTGTACATTAAATGTACTGCTTTAGATTCATGGTGAAGTGGCTTTATGTATATGTAAAAATAATTTCAGCTTTTTATTGCCATGAGAATTTATCCTCCACAGCTCTGCAGTTTCAGTTACTCAAATTAAACAATAGAAATGCTATAACGTTGATGCAAATGTTTCAGCAGTACATTGCCATATACCATACCGAATGCTGAATGTTCTATTCATTATCATTTTGCAAAAGAAATAAAAAATACTAACACAGAGGAAGAAATATGTTACTAATCCCAGATGTACAGAAAGTAAATGATATTACCATAAAAGTGCCATATATGTTTGAGAATCAACAGGATTGCAGAGGATATGACCTTCTAAGGCAGGAGTTGGTTCTTGGATCCACAGAAACAATGTGTCACTTGTGCCAAGGCTAATCTGGAGGGGGAAAATGATAATTGAAGCGTTATCACAATGTGCATGGAAAGCAATACAGAAATTAAATTAAAACCATTTGTTATTACCACTAATTGTTTTTAAATTACACAAAAAGTCAGTTGGTTTCATGTTGAAGCTAGCTCTGACTTAGGTTGTCGCGCCAGCAAATACATACGAGGTAAGAGACTTAGGTTTTAATGTCTGGAGTATTAGCAAAAAGGAGTCACAGGAGTTTACTTACAATCTTTGAGGCAGCTTACAGATTGATAGAAATAAAACAAGCATGAATCCAATAAACGGAAAATCAACATTAGCAAATAAAATTATCTGACAACGTACAGCTATTTTACATATCATGTATTTCATTTATTTGGGAATATGGACAATTTTCAGGAGTATGTTTTGACTTACTGCAATATCTGCTTCTTGAAGTCTCATCCCTGCCAATGATGCTGAAAGCAAAAAGTCAGAATACCAGATAAAAAGTTCCTTGTTTGACTCAATTATAGCATGTTGTGCAAGACATCATAATACATCACATTCACCACCTCAAAGCACAATCTAAATGGCAAATATGCTCATGATGGCCTTGGTCTATACACTGTAAAAGATGGTCAAAGCATTTGGGTGAGGGAGCAATTTTTAACAAAATCAAAATGCTCAAACCTGCATGAGTATCTAATGTTTTATGTATTCAGTTTTTAAATACAGCAGATCCTTTACTTAACAACACACTTTAAAGGAGAAACATTCCCACTTATATATCAGACTACTCACACATTTATTGAACTAAGATGGATTTGAATCTCTAGAAAAAAATTGGACTTCTGGGAAATGCAAAGTTTAAACATCTCCCAGAATATGAACATAAAATATACCATGATGAAGCCTTCATATTGATTCAAACCTGCATATGCTACAGTAACACGGATAAGTATTTTATTTTCACAGTCTTGAGAAACAGATGAACTTGCTCTACGCTCAGTCTCCAAGATTTAAAAAACTTACCCTAAATTAACACCTTCTCTTATATTGAGCTCTATCAGTCTGACAAAAGGACAGCTCTAATTCTTAGAGAAAGCTACAAGGTCTTTTTTGGTTGAAAAGACAGAAGAGCACCTTTTAAATTAATATTTTCCAAGTTAAAATGTTAGCAGTTCATAGTAAGAATATTTTCTTAGGGGCAGGCAGACCAAAACTGAAGTTACCAAGAAGCAAATCAAGTGACTCTAATTACTAGGCAAAAAGAGAATTCATTTATCACACCCAGCTTATCCAAGATGCCTATATCTCAGAAGCAGTGATTGAAGGCTGTTGGAAAAACGTATTAACGCTGACAAAAACGATATTCTTTCATTGTATAGGAAGCATCTGAGAATCAATGAGATTGATTTAGAATTTTAGTACATACATAAGCATATTCACTGAACCTAAATCATGTTTAATCATCTCACCTGGATTGTCTCCTGTAAATGCTACCACTTTACAATCAGGGCTAAAGCCATAACGCTGACTATAATATGGAGAAATGGGCCCCTAAGGAAAGAAAGAGTTCAAAAAAGCTCAAAAAACAGAAAGTAATCTTGCAGTGTATGACAATGTGTTATAACACAGAACTGAAAAAAAACAGAGCAGCTACAATAATCATTTCTGTATATTTAAGGCATGACTTAATATTTTATAGATTTTTAACACATTTTTTTGTTGTTGAGAACCTCATAGAAATACCCTCAGATTAAATTTTGAAACAGGTTAAGTAAATAGTAACATTTAGCTTTGGGTCTTCCACCAGTTATTCACATCAAGTTACATAAACACATTCATTTGTTTTGCACACATACATGAATATTAATACACAGAAATTAGAAATTCAATGCAAACATAGGAGGAAACACAACATTAATATACATCACAGCATCAAATGCGTGATTATGACCCCTATTATTTTAGGGGTCAAGAACTGTATTCCTTCAAACCTCTCTATTCTGGCTTATCTATTTGATAGCCACAGAGGAAAAAACATCCATAAAAAAACACAAGAAAACCTGTACTGATTTTTAATACGTTCCTCTCCTTTACAGAACATCAGTACTGAATTCAGAGGTATCAGGTAATGCGTAACCACACTCTTACACACGTGCACCAGAAACAGCAATAGCTCTTTTTGTACTGGGTAGTAAGACTAAATTCATTTACTCTAAGAGATGTGCAGCTTGATTTGATTTCACCATTATGCTACATGAACTGAGGAGCTTTAAATATCCCAAATTATTCACAAGGATTACCTCATTAACTCTATGAAGAGTTTAAAACAAGCTCTCTGTCAAGAAATGCAGATGTTGGGTTGTGTTTCTGCAGTAATAAATATGGTGCACAGTTCTGCAGTGACCAGCTGCTCATGGGCATGGGAGCAGACCCCAAAGGTTCTTATCACTGGAGCATCTACCAAACCTCTTCTCATCATAGCCCAGGGCATGCAAGAACCCAAGGAGGTCAACAATGAAAGCTACAACAGACACCAGCTAGCAGTTTTCAAAGATGTCTGTTTATACTCTGGCATATACGTTCACAATACACCTGAAAATATTAAATCAAGCAGCATAGCACTGAGGATCTGTGCACACATGCTTGCATGTACATGCAAATACACTCCAAGAAAGTCCTATTAGCAGAACTCTAAGCACAAGCCCTGTTTGCTGTTCACAACTCTTCTAGGCAGGCACATACCAGCACTGAATGGGATGGTACAGGGCATCCTAGTTTCTCCTTTAATCCAGGTGCACAAGCATCAAGGCAGGATACTGACCACACCTTTTCCCAAATCTGCAACAAGTTCATACCAGAACCTACAAGACATATCAGAACAGGAAGTATATAGGATTAAACACAAGACAGTACTGTATCAGAAAATAACACCTTGTTATCAGCAACAGAAAATTTACAGATGTGTATTTTACATTCAGAGGGAATTGTTTCAGCTCTTCTAAGCATAAAGCATACTGATAATTCAGCCTCTGGATAGCTTTCACCTGTAAAGGTAGCAGAAAAGGCTTCTCTGATGCACAATGCACTTGACGATTCAATTATTCCCAAATTAAGAGGAAGAAGAACATGGATGCCTCCTCATCAACTCCTCCCCAAATCTTCCACCTTAGGCAAAGACTTCACTACAACCATCTAAAGGTGATGCAGCAATGTCACTTGAAGGTGTGCTGTGCTCACCTGAGACCTAGCAGGGGAGAAACTTCCCCCTGGTGGTATGGCTTTACACTACTCCTGCCCCTGGGTATCATATCAGCATCTAAATCCACGCTGACCAATCTTCCTCCATATCAATGTTTCCTTCTTCAGAGATGACAAAATAAAGGCTTATAAGTTGCAAAAACCCAGGTAACTGATTTGGTCACTTAAGTCCTCACCAGAATTATCACTATATCCGAGGAAAGCCTGTGCAGTTTTGGTTTGGTTTCTCATTGTTTTTTTCTCACTATTTTATTGCTGGTTTAAAAGTTAATTGAAGGTGGTTAGTGGCCAAACCTACACAACATACTGAGCACTCCACATCCCTCACTTATGTTTCTAAGATGCCTTTAATTGCACATTTCATTAGACTTGAAAATCTGTATACGCTTTTGGTTAGTACTGTTCAGGGACATATAAGTCTTATTCTGTATTAACAACATTTTAATTTTCAAAGACCACTTAGCCCACAACCTATCTCAGAAACAGAGCCACATTCTCAGCTGAGCACAGTGGAAAACCTGAAATTTACCTCCATTCAGTACAACTTTAAGCTTTTTAAAAGACAAAGATGGTGAAGCTGACCTCATATGCGGTGTCTGTGGAACAAGACTATGCTTGCAATGCTAAAACACAGGTTAGTTAGAAAGGTTAGTTGTTTTCTGTGGGTTTTCTTAGAAAAAATCCTTTTCCCTCCCCGCCCCTGTAAGCCTAGAGAAACATTTAACCAGTATCCTCAATGCAGTTTTGCAAGACATGAAGACAGTCTCCAATCTTTTTTGCATAAACCAGGAAAAATATGAACCCTTATACCTGAAAAGGACTAAGTTTATATTATGCAGAAACAAACCCTTCGTTACAGAGATCAAACAATGCAGACTAACTGGTTTTATTGATAAACAGACTAAAGATCAGTATTTATAAACAATTCAGTGCATCTGTACTACAGCTCTCCAAATAGCCTTTTCAGTGAGCTAAAATCATAAGCAGTGTAACTCAGCTGACACCGTGCAAGTTACAATAGAAGTAAATTCAGCCCACCACAAAGGCTTCAGTTTAAAGCATCCTTGTTTAATAGAACAACAAAACAAGTATGCCAAGCTATGATTTGCCTAAGGCTCTTAGAAAAGCATTTCAAAAGATAAAGCTTCTCTAGGTCAAGAGCTGAACTGCTGTTATTTAAGGTGTCTTCTAAGAGAAACAATGCCTCAAGTGTTCAAGTTGTTTAGATCCCAAAGGTATCTTACTTTAAACATCTGCACAATATAAATGAAAATTACTCTTCATTCCACTAGAATGTAATTTGATTTTTTTTTTAAATCAATCACCCAGAGTGCTCAGCCATTCACAAGGACTGATTTGAACATTATGAGATTGGACCTTTAAAAAGAAAGCCAAAAAAATTCTAAAATTGAATAGCACTTTTCCTACAATAACCTGCAAATTTAGAGAGATAAGTTATTGTGCAGAGCTAAACAATCTGACAGGGTCTTTTAAAGACAGTATGACCTGAAGTTAAACCTACAGAAATGAAGAATAGGGCTATTATCTGAACATTATTTTGAGAGATGCATTTTAAACTACAGTATACAGGTGCAATGTAAAAGATCAAGTGAATTGCAAGAAATCAGAAATGACAAGGAAAAAAAATTTTCAACTGGTTCCAAATAACTGCTGCATACTTTAATTATGTATTAGTACTGGAATTAGAATTCTCTCATTATGTTAACAGAAGAAAGGGACAAGCAAGAGAAAACATAGGTTACAATGCTGAAAAATCTTTTGTCTTGTAAAGAGAACTATAACATCCTGCTTACTTCCCTTATCTTTTTTCACACAAAGATTTAATAATCTTACATGATCTGAACAGTAGATAACATTTATTCAAGTTCCATAAATATCCAGAGGTATAACAGAACGGGATCTCCTACAGCTGTTTGAAGAACATGACACTTTTTCTAAGAAAATTTTCCAATTAATCAAATTTTCATTTTCTTTAGTTTGAAATGGTTTGGTTTTCAATTAAACATGGTCATTTTCATGTGCTGAAATTGAAGAAGCACAGTGTTCCCCCACTTGCTTCCAAGTAGAAAAGGCAGAGGGGAAACTACCAAAAAACCCAAAAACCCTAACCCCAAAACCAAGACTGTTTTTTTAATATTTATAATTTTACACATTTGAATCAAAATTAACACTTCGGTCTCATTAAAAAATAAGAGGAAAAAAAAAATCAACATACTTCTTTATCAGAAAAAAAAGTACTTTGAAGATCTCACCACCTCTCTTCGAAATGCAGTGCCTGGAGGTAGTTCTGTGGATTGCTGAAAAGTGCTCAGTATTTGGGCCTACTGAGGAGCAAAGTGCTAATCCCTAAAGAGTTATTTGTGCCAATAATGCACAAAAAAAAAACAAAACAACAAAACAACAAAATTCAGTTGTGAAAATACATGACTAAGAGAATGGGACCAGAAGATTGATGTAATAAACTCACAACCACTGCAAAAGAAGCATGGGTTGTCTTGCAGTTTTTAAGGTCTCAAGTATAACTGGGAGATCTGATACTGAATAAGTCGCCCATTAGCTAGAATTGAGGTGTCTTGCCTTTTCCTATGAGCTTTGATGGAACAACAAGGGAATAAAAATGTGTTGATCTTAACACATGGGTGTCAACTATGGCTTTATAATGCAACAAATGCCTTAGAGAGCCTTGTAATCTAACCTTTTAGCTCTGAAATATATCTCCTCTTAGTTTCAGAGCAGGAACCAAAAATGCTACTTAGAAATAACAGCACAGCTCCTAAGAAAAGGGTTTCCTTTGTAACGGCCTTTTAAAATTGTCATTTAAAAGCTGGATAACTGAGATCATAGAATCATAGGATAGTTAGGGTTGGAAAGGACCTTAAGATCCATAGGCAGGGACACCTTACAGTAAACCATGTCACCCAAGGCTCTGTCCAACTCGGACTTGAACACCGCCAGGGACGGGGCATTCACAACTTCCCTGGGCAACCCATTCCAGTGCCTCACCACCCACAGAGTAAAGAACTTCTTCCTTATACCCAATCTAAACTTCCCTTGTTTAAGTTTTAACCCGTTACCCCTTGTCCTGTCACTACAGTCCTAATGAAGAGTCCCTCCCCAGCATCCCTATAGGCCTCCTTCAGATACTGGAAGGCTGCTATGAGGTCTCCACGCAGCCTTCTCTTCTCCAGGCTGAACAGCCCCAACTTCCTCAGCCTATCTTCATACGGGAGGTGCTCCAGTTCCCTGATCATCCTCGTGGCCCTCCTCTGGACTTGTTCCAACAGTTCCATGTCCTTTTTGTGTTGAGGACACCAGAACTGCACACAACACTCCAGGTGAGCTCTCACAGGAGCAGAGTAGAGGGGCAGGATCACCTCCTTCGACCTGCTGGTCACGCTCCTTTTGATGCAGCCCAGCATACGGTTGGCTTTCTGGGCTGCGAGTACACACTGCCGGCTCATGTTCATTTTCTCATCAACCAACACCCCCAAGTCCTTCTCCACCCAACAGGAGAGAGACACTAGCCTCATCCCTTTGTTATGATGATGGAAAGTAAATTTTATTTTCTTTTTTTTAACTGAGTTTAGGATTTCTTTGTTTGGTTTATGCTTCTTTTTCTATGGGTCATTTTGAAAAAGATATTTCTGTTGTAGAACCATACTCCAGATTGGGGGAGAAATAATCACAATACACATCTTGTTCACATCCTGTGCAACTCAGAGCCAAATCAGCAAAACCAAAGAACAAATATCAAAACCATGAAGTCTAGCTTAAAAATCCACATTTTTTTATGCTTTCAAATAGGTATTTCAACATTCCTTTATACATCATAAAATAATGAAAAAAGACACAATTTCTTTTATGAATATTTTCTGTGGATCCTTTTTACAGAAATGGGAATCATAGTATGATAGGAATAAATAAGCACAGCTAACAGCACTATCAAGAGTAGCAACAAATTGAAAGGAGTTACTAGCTTAATATGTAATAGACTTCTTATTAAAGTTTAAGGACGGAAAATAAATAGCAGAGACCTTTTCCCTCTTTTATGTAAGGTGGGAATGGACAGGAAAATTTCCTTCTTGAATTGTTACTAGAAGAAAAGCCCACACACTTACCGTCACTGTAATCGATAGGTGCATAAGCTCCTAGGAAAAGAGAAGCTGCAAAACTACTAACCAAAGAGATTCTCTGAAAGAAAAAGTATGAGATAGTGAGTCCCATCAGTATTCACTTCAAAGAGTAAATAATTGAAAAATTGGAAGCAGCAAATGTTATTAGATGCTTAATGTTAGGCACAGAAAGCACACAAAAAATACACTTATAAGGATTATTCAGTTCTGTCTTACTGCCTAAGTAATACAGCAGATATCAACCTAGAAATAACCCCATGATAAAAGCTGTTAATAGCTTTGCATCCTGAAGCATGCAAAATACACCTAGTATGTTAGCACACTATGTTATCATGAATTAATTCACAACTTCAGTGTATCACGGATCTCATTTCAAGGAAAAACACTAAGGAAAAAAAAAAAAAAACAAATGACACCACCTGTATGTTGATGACAGGGAAAAACATCCAGAAACTATGCATTGGTCCACTCAGAGCACAGGTCTGTAAGCTTTATAGCAGCTCTGGCAAGGCTCTACTAGCACCTTTACATGAACTCCTACCTTCCTCCCAAGAGACCCCAGACCTTCCAGGAGTTACTCCCAGGAGCTGGTAATAATTAGCTTTAACTGAAACATACCCTGCAACTCTGCCTCAGGGTATGTTTCAACAGTGCATTAGATACAGCTGTAGGGCTTCTAATACTGGCTCAAAAATGCCCCAGCCACATGACACAATGCACTGATTCAATAAGAACTTGCTCCCACTTCAAATCTGCTATACAAACCACCAATTTAAGCGGCTACCGCCAAGCTTTCTAGGTGATCAAATATTATTTCTTCCCAAGAAGCTGGCATAAAAGCTGACAAATTCCTTATTGTGTGCTCTGACTAATTCAGAAGAAATGACTGTCACCCAATAACTAATCCGAATCAAATCTCTACTGGTTGAGTGAGCCAGCAGTGACAGGTTTTTTACTGATGATCACAAAAATCACTGCTTCACATAGCATTCAAAGATGGGACTATAGCCAGAGCTCTAAGAGGTGGTTATAATGGCTGGGAAACTTAATGATGCATTTGCTCTTCATGCGTCTCTCCCCAAGAATATATCATATTGTGCTTAGATAATGAAGGCCTACCTTCTGTGGTGCCCCAGTGGGCACTAGCTGCCTGAAATGGAAGGAAAAGGATGAAGTTAAACTCTGAATCAGCCAGTTTAGCAAGCTGACCTACAGAAGGAAAAACATCCACCTTCCACATTGTGACTGCCAGATGCTGATTTTTGAGGCTCCCCAAGAGCATGGAGGTATTCTGTGCTTGAACAAAACACCTTGCGTATCATTTACTGCTAAAAGATGCCATCAATGTAACCAGCCCTCAAAGTCTGAAATTGTTCTGACTATATCTCAGTTCCACGAGCTCACATCGCTCCCATTAACATATCTCTAAATTTAGTCTTAAGCTTATTATCAGACTGTATGAGTGTTCTTTTTCATCCCATACCTTGCCAGCATAAAGGTTATACAATGAAAATGCACTAAGAAAGAAAAAAATATTAAAAATTAAGCATTCTCCACAAAATAGAGAGTCAACTTTGCAACTCACTTCTCCATTAAATTGTTTCATGCAAGGGTGAGATTTAAAACACCATAAAAAAAAAAATATGATTAATGCTACTGATTACTGCAGTAATACAAAAACAGGAGAGGCCCGAGCTCACGGGTCCAGATATTTCGCATCTTCTAACCACAGGACATGAGTCCTTCTTTCATTTACATCATATTTGCATGGAGTTTTCACCTTGCTTCAAACCATTGCATTTCAGACTCAATGAACTGAAACAATAATGGAATTGGAAGCCAACTTCTGAAAATAAAAAATCAGAAGGAAATAAACTACACTGTACAATTCATTTGCTATAATAAAATCAAAATAACTCCTCAAGGGAAAAACTATGAAAAAGAGCCTAGAATTGATTGCAGCTATTTTCCTACACACATCCACATGGATGCTAGCTTTGTGTGGCAGAGCAATCACATTTCTGCATGCAAACATTCAGTTCTAAGTGTGTAAATTTCAACTCTGTACTTAATTACCAACTTATGTTCAAACTGCAGTAAACACAATTTATTAGTACTCAAATTAAAGTATTTTTTTTAAAAAGCTTCTTCCACAAAGATGAGATCCAATGAAACCTGATGTCTTAAATCACATAATCATAGGATGGTTTGGGTTGGAAGGGACCTTAAAGGTTATCTAGTTCCAACACCCTGCTATGGGCAGGGACAACTTCCACTAGACCAGGTTGCACCAAGCCCTGTCCAACCTGGCCTTGAACACTGCCAGGGATGGAGCAGCCACAGCTTCTCTGGGCAACCTGTGCCAGGGCCTCACCACCCTCACAGGAAAGAACAAATATCTAATTTAAATCTACACCCTTGCAGTTTAAAGCCCCTTCGTCCTATCCCTACATGTCCTTGTCAAAACTTCCTCTCCAGCTTTCTTGTCAGCCCCTTTAGGCACTGGAAGCTGCTCCAAGGTCTCCCTGGAGCCTTCTCTTCTCCAGGCTGAACAAGGCCAAATCTCTCAGCCTGTCCCCATAGGAGAGGTGCTCCAGCCCTCAGAGCATCTTCATGGCCTCCTCTAGACTTGCTCCAACGGCTCCATGTCCTTCTTCTGGTGGAGGTCTCAGAGCTGAATGCAGGACTGCAAGGGAGGGGATCTCATGAGAGCTGTCCTGGCTTCCACCCACTGTAAGCCTCCCTTCTGTGTCTGAGTTTCTCCAGGAGCATATTGTTTATCCATGCAGGCCTCCTGACCCGCTTGCCCAACTTCCTCTTTGTTACGATGCATCACTCCTGAGCTTGGAGGAGGTGATCCTTGAATATTATCCAGCTTCCTTGGGCTCCTCTTTGATCCAGGGCTTTATCCCATGGAATTCGACAAAGCAGATCCCTGAAGAGGCCAAAGTCTGCTCTCTTGAAGTGCAGGGATGCAGTCCTTGCTATGCACCCTCCCTGCTGCCCTAAGGAACTTGAGCTCCATCATGTCACAGTCATTCCAGCCAAGGCTGCTCTTGAGCTTCACATTCCCCACCAGTTTCTCCTTGCTGGTGAGAACAAGCTCTAGCATAGCATCTTTCCTCATTGGTTCCGCTATCCCTTGGAGAAGGAAGTTATTATCAACCTATTCCAAGAACCTCCTGGATTTTGCTTATGCCCTGCTGTGTTGTCCCTCTAACAGATTTTGGGGTTGTTGAAATTCCCTGTGAGGACCAGAACTTGTGAATGTAAGGCTGCTCCTATCTGTCTACAGAATGCTCACCTACTTGTTCTTCCTGCTCAGGCACCCTGTAGCACACCACTACTGTAATATCACCTGTCCCTGCCCTCTCTTTAATCCCATCCCATAAGCTCTTGGTCAGCTCCTCATCCATCCCCAGGCAGACCTGTATGCACGGCAGCTGGTCACTGACATAGGGTGACACCCTGTTCTCATTTCCCCTGCCTGTTCTTCCTAGAAAGCCTTTATCCTTCCACTCCAGCACTCCAGTCACAGGAGCCATCCCACCATGTCTTCACAATGCCAATGAGATTGTAGCCCTGCAGGCATACTCTCTAACTCCTCCTGTTTATTCCCCATGCTACATGACTTTGCACAGAGGCATTGAAGTTGGGCCCCCAGTGAAGCTGACTTACTGGCTGGAGCGGCTGAAATTTCTTTGTGCTGCTCTTCAGGTGCTCTCCTGCTTACCTGCCATCCCTCTCTGGCTCTGGGCATCTCTTGCTAGCACTGGCATCAAACTGGTAGGAGTGGAATGGATTGAGGTTCCCCTCCCCCAGCAACTTTAGTTTAAGGTTCACTTCAGCAGTTCAGCAAATTTAACATTGAAGATGGAACTGATGCCTGACTTTTATCTGCCTAACAACTAAAAATGTAACAAGACAAAAAATAAACTAATCAAACTTATCTTAAAATCAAACACAAGGATCAATACGCTCGTTAGCAAAAAAGTTTGTAAAAACACCTCTACAAAATTAATTTTAAAAGATTTTCAACTGTGTTTTCCAATAAGTGAATTGAAGTTGAGCCAACCTCAGTTTCCATGTAGACCTCAGGATTCTGGCCATAAATCTTTGCTATCTGGTTTCCTGTAAAACGCTGAGAGAGAAATGCAAATGCTTAGAAACACAAACTCTAAATGGAGTCAATAATCATTAACTCTGTGTAATGAGTTCAGTACATTGCACTTTGGATATTTAATTTGCCTGATGCATGATGAAAGTCAGTGCACAGCAGGCAATCTGCACTAAACAGGCTATAACACATAGTCTCATTATGAGAATTTTGCTCACCTTTTGAAAAGAAAAGGCATGTGAAAAGCATTCCTATCCGTAATTTACATTTCAGAAATGACAGTTCAATGGAATGAATCACACTTATTCTGTGCACAGAAACCAGCACAATTCACATGCTGCCTTCAAATCCTTGAAAAGGTGTAAGCTACCGAGCCTATGTACCTTTTTGAGAGGCAGGTGAACTGGGAGCAAAGCAGAAATTTTCATACTCAAAGAAGCAACTCCAGCACAGGCTAATAACAGTTGCAACAATAATTATTTTTTATCCACGCATTATATCAAATAACAAAAAACTTCTAACACTGTAACCTTAACCTTTAGCAAGTTAAAAATAAACTGTTAGTGATATGCAAAGTCTGTTTTCAACACTGGCCATAAATCTTGCATGATGATTCAAAACCAGAATCATCAATTTGGGAAGTTAGAGCCTTATTCTGTTGAACCAACAGTAAAAGCAGGCAGGTGCTGACATGCCTGGAAGGCAGCACTGGTCCCACTACATAACTCAGTGTCCCAGTTACAACAGAAAAAGGTATCAGGAAGAGGAGAAAAGCGACAGTACTCTCTGATAGCACCCCAAACCTCTGAGGTCAACATCTGCTTGTTAGCTTTTAGGGAATATTAAAAGGCCAATCTTCTAATTGCAGGAGTAAACTAGAACATCAATCCACAAACAGGGGATCATAACCCAAAGTAAACCTGTAGCACAAACTGGATTGCCACCCCAATGGAAACGTGGCTGCATAGGAGCTCCCAGGGGAGAACCAGGCTACCAAACACTATTTCAGAAACACTAGCCAAATGCAACAGCTCAACCCAGTTGCTTCCTGCAGCAAAATTTTTAGTATTTACCTAATTTCACTTCGAATTTTCCACATCTTCCTTTGTGAAACTTCTACAAAGCACAATATTGTTGGACTTCCTTCAAAAACTCTCTTCCTATATAACGGCTGATCACTGTCTGCTGCAGTACCACTGCAACGGCAGAATTGTTTCTATCACAAGACTGCTGAGGACTTTCTTCCCATCTGCTTCTTACCTCATAGGCTCGAGAACCAGTGATACTTGCTAGGTGCTGTGCTCCCCCCACGGCTTTCTCCAAAGTGCTGCACTGGGAAGCTGTGCTAGAATCCATCCATATAGGGCTGTTACTGACAGAAAAACAAGCCTGCAATGAACAATATCCTTTATTAGTAAATCTGATCTCTAAGAAGTCCCTACTACAGTTATAGCAATACAACAGACCTATATATCAGCTCACAGTTCAGTTCTCTGACATGCCTTCTGGTCTCCTCTCAATAATGACAGGAATGCAGATACCGGGCAGCATGGTGATCAGTGGTGAGAAGTTTAACCCAAGCCTTACACTAGATGGAAACACAGGCTTTTTCTGCTGTTACTTGATATAACCTGCAGCACAATGTCTCAGTACACTCCTTCAGCAGCCAAAGCACCTGCCCCTTTATGCAAGTTTCACCCCACTTTTTAGAACTCCTTTCTAAACAATCAGATTATCTTTCCACAGGTCTGCCTTGACTGACATACTCATTTGGAAATGCAACCAACATTTACTCCATCACCAAAGAGCATTTAATTCCATTTCCATGAGTTTTGCACAGCTATGTCTAAAATTAATCAATTGATAGATCAGATGCACGCATGTCTCCCTTTTAATATAGAACTGTCCTTTCTGATCTTGAAGTAAGGAAGCTAGGAGGATTAGCCAGGTTAATAAATGATTAAAAGGGTGGTGTCGTAGTCAGGGGTTTGGGTGTCTTGAACACGGGACCCAAGTTTGTAGGCCAGGTCCAGTGGGGACTGGTGGAGCTGCTCTGATAAAGAAGGGAAAGAGCAGTTTTGGTAGGAGGCTTGCCAGACTGGTCAAGGAGGCTTTAAACTAGATGTGTTGGGAGAGGGGGGTATCATTCCATCCCAACACACCCAGTCAGTTGCCAGCAACTATAATAAATGCTCGGAGCAATGTAGAGATATCCCAGCTGCTCCAGCCAATGAGCCGGCTTCAGCTGGAGCTCAGCTCAGATGCCTCTATACAAACACCCATAGCATGGAGAATAAACAAGAGGAATTAGAGATGTGTGCACGTCTACGGGGGTATGATATAATAGGCATCACAGAAACATGGTGGGGTGGCTCCTATGACTGGAGTGTTGGGATGGAAGGTTACAGGCTTTTTAGAAAAGACAGGCCCAGCAGGCGGGGAGGGGGAGTTGCCCTTTATGTTAGGGATAGGCTGGAGAGTATGGAACTCTGTCTGGGGACAGGTGAGCAGTTAACAGAGAGTTTGTGGGTCAGGGTTAAAGGGAATATAGCTATGGGGGACATTACTGTGGGGATCTGTTACAGACCGCCTGATCAAGCAGGCGGGCCAGGAGACCTCCTTGGATGGATAAGGAGCTCCTGAGGAAAATTCAAATGAAAAAAGAGGCTTATAATAAGTGGAAGCAAGGACAGGCGGCCTGGGAAGAGTACAGGGATGTTGTCCGGGAAGCTAGGGACCAGGTTAGGAAAACTAAGGCCCGGTTAGAATTAAACTTGGCTAGGGGTATTAAGGATAACAGGAAGGGATTCTACAGGTACACAGCAAATGAAAAACAGACCAGGGAGAATGTAGGCCCCCTCAGGAAGCTCTCGGGAGAACTGGCTACACAGGATTTGGAGAAGGATGAGGTTCTGAATGACTTCTTTGCCTCGGTCTTCACTGACACAGGCTGTGACCAAACCACCCAAGTCTTGGAAGGCAGATGCAGGGACTGTGAGAATGAAGGCCTTGGGCCCACTATAGGAGAGGATCTGGTTCGAGACCGTCTTAAGTATCTGAACGTGCACAAGTCCATGGGTCCTGATGAAATCCATTCGCAGGTCCCGAAGGAGCTGGCGAATGAAGTTGCTAAGCCACTGGCCATCATATTTGAGAAATCATGGTAGTCAGGTGAAGTTCCTGACAACTGGAAAAAGGGAAATATAACCCCCATTTTCAAGAAGGGGAAAATGGATGACCCAGGGAATTACAGACCTACAGTCAGTCTCACCTCTGTGCCTGGCAAAATCTTGGAGCAGATACTCCTGCAAGGCATGCTAAGTCACATGAAAAACAACAAGGTGCTTGGTGACAGCCAGCATGGCTTCACTAAGGGGAATTCCTGCCTGACCAATTTGGTGGCCTTCTATGATGGGGCTACAGAACTGAGGGACAGGGGTAGAGCAGTTGATGTCATCTACCTGGACTTGTGTAAAGCATTTGACACTGTCCCACACGACATCCTTGTCTCTAAATTGGAGAGACATCAATTTGATGGGTGGACCACTCGGTGGATAAAGAACTGGCTGGATGGCCACATGCAAAGAGTTGTGGTCAATGGCTCAATGTCCAGCTGGAGACCAGTAACGAGTGGTGTCCCTCAGGGATCGGCGTTGGGACCGGTCTTGCTCAACATCTTTGTTGGTGACATGGACAGGGATTGAGTGCGCCCTCAGCAAGTTTGCCGATGACACCAAGCTGTGTGGTTTGGTTGATACGCTGGAGGGAAGGAATGCCATCCAGAGGGAACTCGACACACTTGTGAGGTGGGCTGATGCCAACCTCATGAAGTTTAACCATGCCAAGTGCAAGGTCCTACACCTGGGTCGGAGCAATCCCAGGCACAGCTACAGGTTGGGCAAAGAAGAGATTCAGAGCAGCCCTGCAGAGGAGGACTTGGGGGTGTTGGTTGATGAGAAAATGAACATGAGCCGGCTTCAGTGTGCGCTCGCAGCCCAGAAAGCCAACCGTATCCTGGGCTGCATCAAAAAGAGCGTGACCAGCAGGTCGAAGGAGGTGAACCTGCCCCTTTACTCAGCTCTTGTGAGACCTCACCTGGAGTATTGTGTGCAGTTCTGGTGTCCTCAACATAAAAAGGACATGGAACTGTTGGACAAGTCCAGAGGAGGGCCACGAGGATGATCAGGGAACTGGAGCACCTCCCGTATGAAGATAGGCTGAGAAAGTTGGGGCTGTTCAGCCTGGAGAAGAGAAGGCTGCGTGGAGACCTCATAGCAGCCTTCCAGTATCTGAAGGGGGCCTACAGGGATGCTGGGGAGAGACTCTTCATTAGGGACTGTAGTGACAGGACAAGGGGTAACGGGTTAAAACTTAAACAGGGGAGGTTTAGACTGGATGTAAGGAGGAAATTCTTTCCTGTTATGGTGGTGAGGCACTGGAATGGGTTGCCCAGGGAGGTTGTGAATGCTCCATCCCTGGCAGTGTTCAAGACCAGGTTGGACGAGGCCTTGGGTGTCATGGTTTAGTGTGAGGTGTCCCTGCCCATGGCAGGGGGGTTGGAACTAGATGATCTTAAGGTCCTTTCCAACCCTAGCTATTCTATGATTCTATGACTCTATAAGGTAAGGGTCTTCCAGAAGAAAGCTGATTCCTCCCTACTTTTCTTTTTAAATAACAGTTTGTCTTTAAATAAAAGTCTGCGTTCAAAACTTACCAACCATACACACATACACAAAATGTTTAGGTTCAACAATGTACTTGTCTCCACATAGCTTTACACTTTCATCCTTTCAGACATTAAGTGTGTAAATTGTTATTTTTATATATATTTTTTTCTAGTTAAATCACAAGCACTGCGAGAAAACTTCGGTACAACAGTGTTTTTCACCACAATATTTTGTTAACGCAAATCTGTATTTAAAGTAAAATATTTATAGGTCATTTACAAAAATATTACATTTCCTAAAAGAACAAGCAGGCTGCTACTCTGACACAGAAAGATTCTGGGATGCCCACTGGCAACTGTCAGCTTTTAAAGCAGTATATACTGCCACTTAGGAATAAAGGAAATGTCAAAAGCCCTGGAGCTGAAGGAATAACCAGTACATTCCATTTTATGCTGCAGCAGGATGCAACTCTGCCAAACGAGAGGAAAGGTTTGCAAGAAGAAAAGCAATGTGTAAGGATCAGAAAAAGGACAGTGCAGGTCTCCCTTCAGAGGTCTTCTATGCATGTTTACCTGTAGTGACTGATGTAAAGGCAGTTCAGCTGATGCATTCCTTAAAATTTGCATGCTTCCTTTTTTCCAGTACACACTCCCATGTTGCTGCAGAAAGTACAGAAACAGAAGCTGAGGATGCCCTCCCAAGCTATGAAATTCATCTGAATTTCAAGCTTTAAGGGACAGAGAACTCTCTCTAAACCAAGGATCAAAAAAAATGCACTTTTTCAAATCAAGTGTTTCATTAAAAGACCCCAAGATTGAGCAAAGCATATTCTAAACCAGAAAATGTAGCAGCCAAGAGACAGTGATGATTTTGAACTATGGCAGTTTCTACTGGGAACTATTATTATACTGCTAATGGCATTAGATACTTCTCTGAGGGTTCTCTGAGCTGTAGCCATAGCTCCACTGTCAAGACTGTTAGTTCTGCACTATTTCAGCACAGCCCCCAGATTCTTCAGTTACATGCCCGCCCCAGTCACCACTAAGGACTGCAGAATTTTGAGGTTATTTAAGCTCCATCTCTCTGGCAGCTTCCTCAAGGCAGGCATCTCTAGTTACGCACCTGCAGAACACCGTAAGGAAACTACAAAGCACCATCCAACAACCCACTCATAGTTCCGATGACACCAAGTCACACAGAACCCCCTCGACACAGAGTATTTGACCACAGTGTCATCCAGATTGTGTTTCACATCTCTCTGACATTTCTGGAGGTAATCGAGATCACGTTTATCCCTTCTTTGGGATAAACATTGGCATATCAGTGCACCTCCACAGTGATCTGCAGCATAAAGACAGTTCTTCAAAGAGAAAACGGAGACACTGTGGATTCAAAGGAGGCAACTCGAAATCTTTTCTACCTGAAAGAATCTGAATATTGAACCAAGTTGATTCCCCCAACTTTTATTGAAGGATGGGTAAAATAAAGGGAATACAGGAAATCTGGAAATGCACTTCCTTTTTTCCCTTGAGTGAGCTGGGATTACTTGGCAGTCCTAACTTCTATTCCACTGAAGACTTCATAACAGAGCCTTGATATTGGCTATGATTTTCAGACACTTTGCTGACTTTCAACTGAAATCGATGAAAGGGAGATCAAAGCAAGAGTTTTGATTAATTAGTCCCAGATATAGCAAGATGACTAACCGAAACCTCATGTGTCAGAATTAGCTATTGTTTCAGTGCTGTCCTCACCATATCATCTGTGAAAGTTATAAAGGACTTCCTTATTTCACCAGAGTACTAGGAGACTGGCTGACTAAATCTCAGGATGGGTTTTATAAAAGCAGCATTATGTACTATAGGCTAAGCTATGGCAGCATCTTTGCCATTTCTGCAAAGACCATCACCATTTGGTTTCTGCTGTTCCCAGGCAGATCTCTATCCTAGCCAACAAAAACTGCACTCAACAGCATGTTAGCACACCTTTAGAAAACTGCACTCCTTGCTATTTTTTCTACCCCATTTCCACAAGCACCTGGATAAGCTGAAATTCGAAATTACTTCAGTCATTTCAGAATCTTTGTACAAAGCATTTAAAGAACAGGAAGCCAACTAGTTATGCACTATACTGATCTAAACAACTGCACTGTAAACTTCATCCTCCACTCCCACCACCTTCTTAGTGACTGCTTTGTGTGCGTCAGAGTTTTAAGCTACCCTGAGGAACAGATCTTTCAATGGCTGCTTATACAGAAGCTTCAGTCTTGCTTGATGTCATTGTGGTGTTCTGCAATACAATTATTTATATGAAATTTATAACTATACCTTATACTCTATTGAAGAACTACAGTAAGACTGATATTTTTTTTATAAACTAACCTGGCCAGCACCAGACAAAGCTCTGACTTGAGAGAAGTTAAAGCCTGAAGACTTCATCTTTTCCAAAATCATATCCAGAGCCTACAAAATCAAGCAGAATCAAGAATACCTGTAACAAGCTATCAAATTATGCATACTCACAATCTCTGGAATTAAACAGTAAACTTGTGGCATCACTGACAAGAATTCATTGGCAAATAATGAAAAATTAGCTAATAACTATGGATATCTCAAGAAGCTGCATAAATTAATTTACTAAGGAAGAGTCCATAAAAGACAAGTTGAATCACATGGGGGAAAAAAAAGATCTTTGAAGAAGCTGAATCATAAAGAACCATTCCTTGAAACCTAAATAAGAGGCAAGAGTTAAAGAATTCCAGTTCATTAAAAGACCACTGTCAACAGTGCCAGACACAAAGCAAGATTATCTTTTCCTGTTCTTACTTTTGGAAATCTATGAAATCTTAACGGGTTGCACTCTACACCCTGTCATACAAGATGTTAGGTATCCTCAATAGCACTGCCCCCAGTGCCAGGTAAAAACTCAGAGTCTCTTTAATATAAGGCTAATTCAAGTGAAGTTAGCACTTTAAGCACGCATCATATACTTATATCATCATATTATTGATTTAATAATTACAACTGTTCCGGTTCACTATGGTTCAAAAGACCAATTGCAAGCAAATTTACCAAACCTTTGTCAACTACTGAGGATCACTAGCTGTGGCGTCTTTGACCTTTCAAATACCTTAACTATGCAAATCACACCAGTTAGACAAATTTAGCTAGTGCTAGGTGAGAGCAAGTGTTGTAGAATCCACACAGTAGCGAGGAAAGCCTTCTTTTAAAATAGAAAATAATGTTGTATTTCAAAATAAACACCACTTGAAGTGACTGGGAATCACTGAATAAATTGCTTTTTAACCACTTAACCAATTGATGTCTCAAACTGGTATCAAAGCTTACTTTAAAAAAATGGTGCAAATAACCTGTATGTGACACGTGAAACAAAAAGATGAGGGAAAAAAACGGTCTTTTTTCCAAATGAGAGGAAGCCAGTTAAAGATTATCATACATACACTGCTGTAATAGTAGAGAGCAAACAAACGAATGAACCCCCCACACACCAAAAAGGTAACATTAATATTTGCATACCAAAGACAGAATAACACTTAAAAGAAACAGAATGCAAGCAAAAGGGCTACGCTGATTTGAATGATGAGTTTCACTACTGCTTGGAATACATTTCCTTTTCAATAACAGCAAAGAAGAAGCTGAACTGCATAAAGATTGCTCATACCTTGACCCACATTAGCACAGGAGAAGTGACTGTCAGCCTGTCACTGTGAATATAGACTCCACCTTGAGTCCTACATGAATAAAAAATTTTCTCTTGGTAAATTCAGTAATTTTTTTTCCCCACCAAGAAAAGATCTTCAAGTTTATTAATAACCAAAAGGGTTTGAAATGTTTTTATGCTAAGAGGAAGGATACAATCAGCGTTCAAAACCTGAAAAAGTAAAAGCCAGCTGCTAGGAAGTAACATAAGAGATATTTGACCCAATTGCACAGTAAGTAATTTGCAAGGAAAGCCTCTAACCCTGAAGATCTGTGATAGATTCCAGTGCTGATACTGCTCACTGTCCCTATGTCATTCATAGCTATTTCTAAATTTCTTGACTGTTCCCAGTAGCGGCCAGAACCTAGAAGATGAAATTCAATCTTTGCTGTTAAGCCATTAAGTAAATAAATACACTTAACTGAAACTTGTGACTAGGAGAATGTTTGTAAATTCTTGTCTATTAACTGAACAAATACTGTCATCCTGCATCTTATTGTGAGATTTGGAACCACAGCATTTGTCTCTAAATGCCTTTTGGAAGTTCCCCTCATGCAATTTACTTGCTGTTATCATAGCATTCTGCCTTGACACAAAAGTGATGCTTACTTCTGCAACTCAAGAAGAAACAGACATGTTCACAAGTCTGAAGTCCCAAAAGAAAAAAATAAATTATTTATTTATACATAGTATTTTTGGGTAGATTTTCTTCATTTCCTGTTGGGGGTCCTTGCCATATTTGCATACTAAGGAAGACAAGAGCATACGTTACCCTTGCCAAGTATGAAACATGAACATGGCAGGAAGTTTTTCCATGCCTCCACACATCAATGAAACCAAACAGGACAACAGCCTCCCACCCAATCTCCAAAATTCTAAATTCGAGTATCCAAACAAAACATAAAAAGCCTTACTTGAATTCCGGAAGGTCTTTATCAAAATGAACATTATCCTCATAAATTACTCTCAGCTGCTCATCGATAGCAATGACTTTCAGCTAGAAGATATAAAATAGGATGTTAACAAAAATTTACAACAAATAACTCATTTATAATAGATCAGTTCCCCCAGAGAAAATGTGAAAGATCACCCAAATCCATACAACTTGCTGAAAGCATGGGCACAATTTTACATTAAACAAGTTACTGTGTGGATTTCCAGCACGCCACCTGTTCAGCAACATGCATATTTGTGTGCTTGCATTCCCTTCCCCCCTCATTTTCCCTCTCCTTAAGCACACCAGATCCAGAGGAAGGCATATGCTAAAGTACAACAAACAAGTGACCAGGTTCGTAACTTGCATCATTGTAACCATTCTTTCCAATTTCTCCAAAGAATACAGTATCTTAGATTAAAGATGCCATATGTTGGTGGCGGCTTTTTCCCCCCTCTCCTTGTTTTCTTGTCCCATCTATCTCACCAAGGAACCTGACATGCCCTTAGAATACCTTGAGGATCTTCCCTGCTCCCCAAATGATGAGTAAACCAAGCTCTACTAGCCTGGCAAATCTCAGAGGGCATTACACAAGTTTATTCCAAGCGTCTGCAATATATGGAAAGCAACATCCCAAACAGGTAACCCCGTAAAGCTGCATTTTCTTGTAAGCACGTACTAGAAGGGTACTACAACCTTTCCTCCTCTATCAACTCCAGTTCACTTATACAGAAGAAAAACATTAACAACCTAGAAGAAAAATGAGAAGGCAGCTCACATTCTGCGCATATTTCAACAAAGGATAGAGTGCAAACTGCTGCTAAAGGAACAGACAGAAAAAGACTAAGTCATCTCTGAGTTGCATTCAAGTAACAAGGCCATCCCAATTTAGCCATACTAATGTAGGACCATTATTTATGCACTGGGGCACAACTATTCATTACCAACCTGATGCCCTGTGCTAGCTTTAAAATGGTTCTGACCCACTGCAGCTTAATTGGCTTTCTGCTTGCAGCATGCCCCCTTAAAAAACACTTAATCAATCCAGCCTGGATGTGTCTTTTCAAGCTCCCGAACTTCAGCACAGATATAGTGATTTATGCTTATATGCCTATTTTAAACGTATTCATACCTCAGGACAACTTGAGCAGAGTTTCTATTCACAGTGTATCAATACCCAATTGTGCCAACAAATCAAAACTTCAAGAAGCAACCCAAACATCCAGGTTCACAATCCTACTAATCCTGATTCACACGAGGACACTGGAAAAGCTGGAATCAGGTGCAAATCACAGCTCCCAGGCTGTCTGATGCAGCGGGCAAAGGGGTCTCAGTTCAGCCTGCATGTAAAGGGCCACAGCAATCCTTTCCAGGATTAAAGGCATCCTCAGCAGGATGGGGAAGAAGGACACGTCAGGACATGCAGCCTACAGCTTCAGTCAAGAGATGGGACAAACAGAAAGGGACAAAAGATGCGTTTATGCTGGATGAGGCACGTGGACAACCAGGCACAAGCACTGCCCACGGCCCACTGAAGCTTTAAAACACGTGAAGCACTAGGCGTTATCCTGCGTGAGCTGTGGCAGGCTGCCGGCGTGTGCGAACGGCGGCACCCAGCACAGCACAGCATCCTGCAGCGCGCTGCTGTAAAAGGGGAAACCCTGCAGAACAGAGCCGTCGCGGGGTGGAGGAAACGAGCGCTGACAGCCGCCTGGCGGGAGGAAGGCCCGTTCCTCTCCCGTGCTGCGTGCGGGTCAGCGCAGCGGCAGCCCGGAGGGCCACGATGGCGGCCGGGCCGGGCCGGGCCGGGCCGGGCCTCCCCCGCTTGCAGCCCCCCAGGGCACGGCCGGGTGTAACCCGCTCAGCGCTTGACCCCCGGCGGCGGCAGCCCAGCCCCGCGCAGGGCAGCACGGATCCGGACCCCGGCTCTGCTGGCCCTGCGCGCAGCCGCCGCCGGCGGAAGGAGGGTAGAGGAGGGGAAAGGCAGAAAGAAGCGGCTGCGGATACCTGCTGCGTGCTGAAATCCCAGCCTAGGTAGCACGGAGCTGCCATGGCGCTGCCCGGCCCGTCCGGCTCTCACCCTTGCTCCGCGGCGGCTTTGCAGGCCCGGCCCCCCCGGGAAGGCGCCGCCAGCCCGGGCGTGTGGAGCTGGAGGTCGGGAGTTAATGAGTGTTCCGCGCACGGGGTGCAGGGCGAGCAGGAGCAGCCCCTCATGCCTGGCACGGAGGGGCTGTGCAGAGTGGTGGCAGCACGGAAGAGCTCTGGGCAGGGGAGGAGATGTGATGTGGCGGCGGGTTGCTCGGTGCCAGGGCTGCTCACGGCAGCTGCTGATCACCGGTAACTGGGAGATAACACACCGTGATCCCTCAGCCTGCCTATGCCCGAGTAGGTGATAAAACGCCAAAGCAGCTGCACAGCGAACGGAAGGAAAACAAAATAGGAACAACTTCAAACTACATTCCAAAGGAATTCAGGAAATGTTAATATCCCATTACTATCTACCAGTCCTGTTGCTGTATTGTGCTCTGGCTTGCACAAATACATAGTATCCCACTAAGAAAATAATCAAGAGTTGGTACTTAGGCTGAAGTTTGGGGTTGCTCTCCCTTTTCGGCTGGAAGGGCCTGGGGAGGTATCTTGGGTTTATTACCTGCCGTAACATGTGACAGGCAAAGTGGAATTGCTTAATCAGAAGGCTCATCTAAAATGCTTTCATTCTGCAATCAAGGTGGTACCCTGGCAGGGCCTTAATGAAGTCAAATGGGTTTTACATGCCCAGGATCTTAAACTACTTTAACAGTACAAATACTTAATTTGAAATGCCCTTTAAACTGTAAAATATTACTGAATTTTGTAATATGCTGAATGTTTTAAATACATTTTAAATATTCCCAGTGATTTCTCAAAGCCCTAACTCCCATAGGTTTATACTTTGAAGATTTCTAATTATTATTGCAAAGAAAAACCTTTAACATTAGTCCTGAAGACTCTCAACCTACAATGCAAACTAACATTTCAGTATACTGACTTTTAAACCCAGTTTACTCTATTACAGCACCTCTGAATATTCTGTATTGACAGTACCTTATTAGAAATGTGACCACAACATTTGTAAATAAGACAGAGTTTTATTGAAAATTGTCTGAAAAATACAAATCCCTTTAAATGCATAGTGTTATGGGCCTGCATTTTTGAGTCTGATCCTGCAAAGGAGTTTGCAATCACAAAACATCCAAAGGAACTAAGTGGAAGTACAAGTCCATTTAAAAATAAAAGTATTATATGGTCACCCAGTTTGTAGTTTGTCTTCTTTAAATCAGATGGTTATCAGGTAGTGATGGAATTTTCCCCCCTCAAAGGAGCTCATACTGGATGGACGTATCCTGAACAAAGGTCTCACCCAAGAGGCTGTGAAGGAAATAGAGGGGGTTTTAAATGTTACCAACAACTGTTTCCTTAGTGAAACTCTTACCAGAAAGCAAAGGATCAAAAACAACACAGAGGCTGTTTTTCCATTAATACAGGATGTGATTGGTGAGCCAAGGAGAGGCTTACTCTGCCCTTTAACTTGCTGCACATTCCCTATAAACAAGTAACAGATACAGAGGCTGAGGCTTGAAATGCTGCCATTTTCAAAATACTGAAGAGAAACTGAAGTCAGTTCTGAAGGTGGAAGAATGATAAATTACTTCAGAAAGAGAGACATTAGTGGATTTTTATTGTTTTTTTATAAGGAGGTATTGGTTAGTGGAAAAAAACTAAGTTTATAAGTAAAGCAATCTTATGAGGATGTAAGAATCAATTATATTGTTCAGCAGTTGTATCAGAAAAATAGTCCCCAAAAGCAAGAAATACTTTGCTTTAAGTAGCACAGAAAAGTTAGAGCTGGAATAACCAGCCTTTTATTATCAGATCTCCTTAAAGTAGGAACAAGGGTGCAAGAGAATAGGATAGGAGAACCCAGTCAAGGACAGAATGGGAATGTTAACATTGCTGCTTTCACGTTTTTCTAGTTTCAAGTTTGGAGAATTGTTGCCTTACCCAATTATTCTGTTGTCTACCCTTCCACCAAGGCAGTGTTCTCTTAAGTTTAGTTACTTGTATATGCAAAATGTGCATTGTTGCTATTTTTCCTGCATTAAAGTTCATAGAATCATAGAATAGTTAGGGCTGGAAAGGACCTTAAGATCATCTAGTTCCAACCCCCCTGCCATGGGCAGGGACACCTCACACTAAACCATGACACCCAAGGCTCTGTCCAACCTGGCTTTGAACACCACGGGATGGAGCATTCACAACTTCCCTGGGCAACCCATTCCAGTGCCTCACCACCCTCACAGTAAAGAACTTCTTCCTTATATCCAGTCTAAACTTCCCCTGTTTAAGGTTGAACCCATTACCCCTTGTCCTATCACTACAGTCCCTAAAGAAGAGTCCCTCCCCAGCATCCCTATAGGCCCCCTTGAGATACTGGAAGGCTGCTATGATGTCTCTATGCAGTCTTCTCCAGGCTGAACAGCCCCAACTTTCTGAGCCTATCTTCATGTTGCAGATACTACCACAGCCTCTAAAATAGTTTCTTGAAAGTAAACAAGGTTTAGCTGTGCAGTTATTAGTGAAGTTACAATCATGTACTAGTGAAGTTTTAGCAGTGACAAACCCAGAATTTCCAAAGGGGATAGACAAAATGCCATTTATAATTGAAATGTCACCACTGCAGCTTAACAGCTTGAGGCAGAGCACTGATTAATCACTCAAGACATGGAGCAGCGTAAAGGGAAAAGCAAGTTTATTCCCCTTTTCCTATTAACTACTTTCTGACCTGATGGAGAAGCAATACCCTCCATGCTCTGCTAGGCCCTTGGCTGTTCTGATAAGATATAACTAGTATGCCAATTAATGCTTTTTTTCCTCTCCCCACTGTCAAGTTAACTTCAACTGCACATTCATTTCATTTTATTGCAAAACAAATTATTTTAACTGTATTCCATATTCCTACATAGTGGTATTTTTCACTTTTTATTCTCATTTTGAGTATCAGAATCTGTCTCTGATCTTTGTTGCACCCTGATATGAACTTAGATTTAACTGCATTCTTCAGCTTCACACAGGTGAACTCCTTCAAAAACAGTGACAGCCTAACTACCAAGCTTCATCATCATCAAATCACCTTAGACATGCCAACAAGCTCCAGAATAGATAGACCAGGCCTTTGATATAAATTAGGAATACTAAATTGACAGCAGTCCAGCTATCCTGATTTATACTGGTTCCATAATTTAATGGGATGTGGAAGTACTTACACCCTCACAGGAAGTAACAGAAGTCCATGATCCACTCCAAAACTACCAACACTTTTGCTTCCAGCATTTGATTTTGGGCATCTAACTAGTTATTTTAAGTAGCAGGGCAGCCAAATATTTCCAAGCCCACAACATTTATTTCACATGGGTACATCAGCATCGGCTGGCATCACAGAAACAATAGGACAGATAAGAGTAACTGCATGTACAGGCATCAGCTCTGCACATGCAGTACAACTGCAGCAGCCCATGTTAGACCTAGCACTGTTAGGCCTGCTGGCACAATTAACTTTTTCCTAATAAGAAATCATGTCGCACTTTCATTAGCCTCAGAAACATTAAACATAGCAAGCTGGGTCAGATAAACCCCAACCTATTTGCCAAATAACTCAATAGTCACGTGTAATGCCACTTAATTAGGTGGGAGGCGTTTACAATGTTAAACTCCAAGCAGCCCAACAATAACACATTAACATATCACCTTAAAAAAAAAATTCAGTTTGAGCACTAGACCTACCTACTGGAAAGGTATCTGAACAATGACAATGCTCTAAAGGTCATTCCCTTTCTACTTAGCATTGCAGGTTCTCTGCTATCACAGAATCTCCAGCAATGTTTAACCAAGTACGGATCACAGAATCACAGAATGGTTGAGGGTCACCTAGTCCAACCACCCTGCTTAGTCAGGGTCACCCGCAGCACATTGCTCAGGAGTGTGTCCAGACAGCTCTTTAATATCTCCAGGGAAGGAGACCCACAAGCTCTCTGGGAAAACCATTCCAGTGCTCAGTCCCCCCCACAGTAAGGAAGTTCCTCCTCCTCCTTTTCAGGTGAAACTTCCTGTGTTTTAGTTTGTGGTTGTTGCCTCTCAGCCTATAGCTTGGCACCACCAAGAAGTGCCTGGCCCCATCCTCTTGACACCCTCACTTCAGATACTTCTATACATCAATCAGATCCCCCTGGAGCCTTATCTTGGTTGAACAGGCCCAGCTCCCTCAGCCTCTCCTCATATGAGAGATGCTCCAGGCCCTAATCATTCCAGTAGCTCTTTGCTGGACTTGCTCCAGGAGCTCTACGTCTCTCTTGTACTGGTGAGCCCAGAACTGGGCACAGTGCTCCAGGTGTGGCCTCACTAGTGCTGAGCAGAGAGAGAATACCTCCCTCAATCAGCTGGCAATGCTCTTCCTAACACAGCCCAGGACAGCACTGACCACCTTGGCCACAAGGGCACATTGCTGACACAAGGGCAACTTGTCCACAAGGACCCCTAGGTCTCTCTTTGCAGAGTTGCCTTCCAGCAGGTCAGGCATTATAACACCAAAATGATTTCCTTTCCCTAAATATGCATTTACCCATTGAAGTTACTTTTGCCCATGATTTTGTGGTAACCATTGTGTTTATCCTTGCCTCCAAAGGCTGTGGAGATTCTCATTATTCATTCTGTAAGAATAAAAGCAATGGATTGAAGTAGCTGTTATCCACTCTGATTTTACTGACTGTATTCTGAACAGATGAAAGTATCTATAAAGACCCAGCAAAAGCCCCATGCATAAGTTCCACAAGAGGAAGCCTAGATCGCAGTTGCTCTATGGAAAATGAAGACACAGCTCAGTTTGGTAGAGTAATAATTCCACAAATGTATTGATCAATCTAATTCTTGACATGTGCATATTCCAAACCCCAAGTGTGGTACTGCATTAACCAATTAAGGCCCTTTATAGAGACCTCATGAAGAAGTGGTGCAAGATTCCCATACAAAAGCATATGAGCTTACATGAACAAGAAAAGAATTTAGATGATAGCTCAACTACACAATCCCAGTTATACTGTCAGTTTCATAGGTATTGGTCAATTTGCAGCTTCTATTTAATCATATACATAAAATCCTCCACTTTCACTTCAACTGAATTCAGCAGAACATGTGTTGACTTCAGTGGGCACTGAATTAGGCACTGTGGAATTGTATCTGGTTTTACATACTCTAGTTTTACAGATGTAATTTCATTGACTCAATTAGGCTACTAGTGAT